CCAGCGGCATCTCCCTCTCTCTTGCGCCCGTCTAACATGACAGATAAGTTATGTATGATGCAACACCAACAATCTTCGGCAAATGGAAAGCCGTAAGGAAAAGCATACACCAAAATACTGACTGGAAAAACAATAAAAAAAAAAACACATCGCCCCAACCTAGTTGTGGGTCAAGTTGAAAATGCAGTTCGGCGCGCGTTTTACTTTCGAACGAATTCCAAGCTGCGCGCGCGCGACTTGCACGCGATCGAAATCGCGCGCATCGGACAACGCGCGATTTCAACAGACCCGAAGCAGCAACAGCAGCGGCAGAAACAACATTTGCTGCACTTGCCACACGAAAACAACATATGATATGAGCCAGCATACATATCCATGTGCAAGTTGCTCAGCTGCACAGGCACAGTGGGGCTCAAGTTAATAGCAATTAAAATGGTCAATTACTGAAAGTCTTTCATAGTTTCTTCGAGTTAAATAAAATGTATTTTGTATGTTATGTGAAATGTATTTTGTGTTTTTTAAATTAAATAAATTATGGTAATATTAACTGATAATAAATTAAGAATTTTCTTCTCTTAATTATATATTTAATCTAAAGTTCACAAATGGTTTTAGTTATTTAAGAAAGTTACAGTGCCTTAAGAATTAAATTCAATTAATTTCCATTGTATTGAACGTATAATAAAAACTATACGTTTAATAGTATGTAAATTCTAATATTGTGTAATTATATTAACCCTATTTTTTATTACCTAAACCTTTAAATAATTAATTATTTTAAAGTATTCTAATTCTAGTAAAACTTCCTTTAATAAACAGAAGCATTTCATGAAAACCTGTTTTAAAATTGTTTAATTTTGAACATTATTTTATAAAAAGATATATTATATATAGATATATATATATTTCTATGTATGTGTAAAAATATATATTATTAATTACATTATCCATATTATATTATATTATATATATTTTTTTTAATTTTCCTTTTATCAATACTATTTAATTGAATATAATTGTAATTTGGTATTTCCAAGAGAAGACTTGAATCTCGGCTCTTGACTCTTCAAAGCAACTAAAAACGCGTTAATTTGGCAATCGAGTGCACTGGCTATTTGTTGTTGTTGTTATTGTTGCAGTCGCCCACTTGTCGTTGGCCTAAAACCCCCAAGTAATTAGTGCAAGACATTTTTCCAAGTGTATTAGTTTGTTGCCGCTCCAAGGAAGTTGTGTTTGCCTGTTGCTTTTGGGGGCGGTCTTAAGCCGCTCACTGGACGCGCCGCGTTTCAGGTTGCAAGTTTGTTGCAATATGCACCGAAATATTCAATTGATTTTTAATTTATAATATAAATATTAATATAATATTAAAAAGAATTAATTTGGAAATTAAATTAAGAAAGAGTTGTGAAAATTTCTCAAAGAAAATGCATAATGAAAGCTGACTAAAAATACAACAAGCAAATAGCTTCTCAGACTTTCTGATTAAGAACCTTTTTTTTATGAAGTCGTATTTTTTTCGATTTATTTTCAGTGGATTTCCTAATGTGCAATAATATTTAGTTGCAGTTAGTAAAGAAACTCAGTTAGTAGTCAAGTGCACAGCTGCAAATACTCGAGAGCCTGGCTCAAAGGTGCGTAAGTGTAAGTGAGTTCCCCCAAAATGCCATTTGAAAGCCTCAATTCAAATATTTTAGCTGATTCATTCCCACCTTGCATCCGTCACTCGGCGAATGTTGATTTTACATATTTTATTTTTCTTATATTTTTTTTGTATTTTAGTAACTTGAATGTATTCGGCGCTAATGTTACCAGTCTGGTTGGACGCTGGCATTAATAATGGTACCTAACCAATTGACTCTTGATTCAGGTATTTAATATGCCATTCCGATTCGAATCTCGAACTTTGAATTTCGTCCCGATTGCCGTTTCCCTGTTTTCAAGTTCCCTGCCCTCGGGGAACCGTAAATCACCAATGTAATTAAAAAAGCAATGACTTTAAAGCGGACTTATCAGGTTCAGGCTGTCTCCTAATTTAAATTTTGTTTTCAGGCCCACAATGTTGATTATTTAATTGTGTTTTATTTTTTTGCTCTGGCTTTTAATTGATTCGCTCATCTTTCTCTTGAGTCCCGACTGAAAATATTCCAGTTTTTGTGACATTGAATAATGATAATTGCTTTAATAGCATTTAAGGGAATTAAATATGGGGTCTTAAAATTTCAAATCCAACGATTTTCTGTATTTTAAATTATCATAAATGAATTAAACTAAATCCATTTTGTTTTGGTTTGTTTTAATACAATTAATGTGGATTAAAATAGTCAAGGTACCCAAACACATGTTAATTTCACGATTCGCAAACTCAACTTGACCCAATAGATTCACTTAACCCCCGAAATAAATGTGACAAATACAAAAAAAGGGAATTTATTCAATCGACCCCAAAATCGCAGACATAAAATGAGTTATTCATTAAATATGCATGAAAACCTATAGAAAATTGCAAACCACTCAGAAAGCTGTTAAATATGCCAACGAAGATTTAAAAGCTGTTATTTTTAGGAGTCTTTTAACACCTTTGCCGGTGTATCTTGGCCATCTAATCTCGCAACAGGCAATAATTGAATTACAAATGACACTTACTTTAATCTCATATTGATAAGAGTCCATAAAAATCGTCATGGCTGGGGTCTTCTCTCTTTTTCCTATCGTTTTGATATCTTTATCTCTCTCTTTGGCAGTGTTATCAGTTCTCGTTACTCACGAGAGCCAGGTATACATATATAGAAGTATATAAAAAATGGAGAAGAAAATACTGGCACGCACTTATTTCAATGTTGAACAATAAACCTTTGGCCAAATTGCATACTGGCTTAAAAAAAATAAACAACACACTCCGTTGAGAATATCGCGCATACGCCGCGTGGTACCAAACAAATCGAAATGGAGCAAAAAACTCAGCGATCGCAGAGTCACATGCGGCAAGTCTTATCTCTCTCCTCTCTCTCTCTCGTTGTATCTCTTATTACCAATTATTTATTTGCTCTCCTCGAGCAAAACAGCTGAGTGTGTAGAGGAGAGAGGCAAGACGAGCCATAAACTAGCGTCGTCAACGTCGCTAACTGTCTCTCAAATGTGGCTAACTGGCCCAACAGGGGTTGCAAGCAAATCGACTGATTAAGGCACAGTTTTTATTATGATTACCGATTACCTCCACCCACCCGGACTGCGCAGTTTGGCAGCTGGATAGGTGGCTCTAACCAAAACTGGCCTAGTAAAATACCACCGACAGGCAGCGTTTTTGCACTTTTCAGTGTCAAAAGCGTCAACAAAGTCCCCAGAGTTGAAAATAAATTCAAAAGTGTAATAATTATTGTGTAAGAGGTGGCCAAAAGGAGATGAAAACAACGCCAAGATTTGAATAAGTTTCGATTTCTGGGTTGCCGCCTGATTTCTTTGGGTTTTTTCTCTTATATTTTTTCCTTTTATTTTGTATGTTATATATATATATATTTTTTTTTTTTTTAAATGGTGCAATGCTTGTGATCATTAGCCAGCGGCTGCTGTGATTGGTAAACCCGCTGGTATATAGTTTTTTTTCATCTTCGAATTTGCAGAGCTGGCTGCTTGAATGAATATGAAAATCACTGGATTTCTACACCCAAAAAAAAAAAGAGCATCTGCAATGATGGCCAAAACGCTTAAGTGCACAGCGAAAAGAGGGCGCGAAACTATCAAATTTGAAATTTTAAACTCTAAACCTAAACTCTTTAAGAAACTAAAATTAAATTTTGTTTATGAGAAATCAATGCATTTGAAGTAAACAAGAATGTTTCAAACTTTTGCTTTTTCAGTTTAAAAATAAGCATTAAAAATTGTATACATAATTTAATAAAATATATGTAATCAAAATTATAACTTCTATAATATTTATCAACCTTTATTTTCCCCCACTTATTTCTCTCGGTGTCAGGTGGCTGAATCAAGGCGATTGGCCTGGCCCTGAGGAGCTATCATTTCACTTACGATCGCCGGACTCTTTATTTATCCAGTTATCCCAGTTGAGATTCAAGGTCAGCGCTGCATTGCATTTCCGTGTGAAATGTGGTCGGGCCAGCTCGTGAGCTGGTCAAAAGCAAAAGCCAGCCTTCACTTCACTTGGCCATCATTGATGTTGCTGCTGCTGCTGCTGTTGCTGCTGCTGCATTGCAGACGTAACAAAGCAGCAGCAGCAGCAGCAGCGTCGAAATAAGTGCAGCACTTGCATTTTCTGTGTGCACCTTTGGCAAAAACTCAAGTGCGAATGACTTTAGCAAAACAGAAAAGCGCTGGAAAAAGCGTCGAAAGGTCTAAGCGGCGTTGGCAAAAAATGCATTTGAGAAAAAGACATTGAAATAATGTACTTGAAAATGAAAACCAGTTGCCACTTTCGGGGTTTTTTCACATTTCCAAAGAAAGCGAAAAAGAATCAAGTCATGAGAGTTAAGCAAAAAGATTTATCACATAATAAATATTAAATTTAATGGGAAAGGAAAATTAAATTCAGAATAATATACAAATGAAAACATTCCACGAATGAATAATCACATCTTTCCATTAACAGTGGAAATAAGAACCAGAAATGGATGAATAATCACATCATTTTGTCAATTAACTGTAGTTATATGTACATTTTACGTTAATATTGCGGATGTGTTGGAGATTATTTTTCTTAGTTTTTTTCGTATTATTATTTTCTTACTTAATAACAGCATACACAAAGTCGTGTGCAAAGGGTCATTTGTCAGATTGATGGAAAGTCCAACTATTTGTATATTTATTCGGGCTTGCATGTGTAGGGGGATCGGAATCAAAATTATAGGCTGTCAATATATAGTATTTATCAACTTTTCCATTGAGTCACAATGGGAACCCCATTTCGAAAAACTTTAAATTTTATTTGCAAATATTTTATGTACATTTTTTCACTTGATCAATTATTTTAGTTAATAAAAACTTACCATTTTCTTATAATTTGTGTATTTAAGGCACTAGAAGTCAGTTTATCTTTAGCGGTTGGTATTATTTTTCAAATATTTTAAATCACTTGACTAATTTACAGATTTAATCTCGGCTTTGGCTTTGGGCTTTATCACTTCGCACTTTTGATTTGCAGACTATCCTTTTTGATATTTCAATATTCGTAAAGTATTTGTTCTTTCTTAGTTTTTATATTTGTATTATGATTTTTTTTAGACGCGCACACACATGTTTCTATGGATTATCTATTTCCCCATCACTGGCGGGAATCCGGGGGGGGGGGGGTGTTCACCAGCGGGAAGAGCGTTGCGGATGCGGCTGCAGCGGCTGCTGGACTTTACTGGAAAGCAACTGGACAGCGACTGGGCGAGAGCGTGCGCTGCTTTTTACATTCAAATCAAAAACACTGAAATAAGTTTGATTTCACGCTGCCGCTTTACTTTTATACGGCTCGTAGTCGTAGGAGCGGAGTTGGCTTAAACGCTGACGCTGACAGCGGCAGAGACGCCAGCAGCAACGCTCTTTAGTTTATTTTATTTAGCTTTTTTTCTGCTTTTTTTTTGGTGAGCGTGTGAGCCGAAGTCGTTGGCAGAGCTTTCGGCAAAATTCTGAGCCTCAACAGGTTGTCGGGTGTCGTGATTATCCGCTCTCCCGCTCTCGCTCTCTCTCTCTCTCTCTCTCTCTTGCCGCTTTCCAAGCGGAGTTTGCGCAAGGATTCCCAAACGCTGACCGCGGCTGCGACTGCGCTGCGGCCCTTTGGAATCACTCGGAATCTTGATCTCGGTATCATCTCTCTGGGCTTTCGCACCTGCCTTTGCACCCACATGCCCAAGTGCAGCGGCGCTAATTGTTGCCAATCTAAATATCGGTGCGGGTTTATTTTTTACTCCGCCTTTAGCAATGATGATTGCACTGTTCAAAGTTCTGGAAAGAAATCCGTTAATTAACCCCTGAACAGGCCCTGCCTTTTGTGTCGCGAAAGTGTGCAAAAAAAAAAGCGGATAATATCTATCGATGAAATAAGAAAGATGCTGTAAAAGCAACTTAATAGCTGGAAATTACTGTTAATTTGTATCAAACTTATGGGGTTTCATAGGAATTAGACACCCGATATTATACTTTGTGAAGCGTAATTCTAAGGAATTATATCTAAAGTCAAGAAATTACATTATTTTGTATTGGTGACATTGACTAACAGCGATAAATTGTTGAGAACTATAAAAAAAACCATATAGTAAGAACTATAAAATGGATACATTTTTGAGAAGCTTTGAAAATAATACTTAAATAGTATCAACTAAATGTTTGTATTATCTTTTTAAATACCATTTTCATTTTAATATTATATTTTGTTTATTATTTTCCTTTCCAAAGGCTTAAATTATTAAAATGTAACAATTGTTTACAAAATAATTAACTGCTTTTTATTATTTAAACTTTGTATAAAATCTTTAAGTACAAATTGAATCCTCATTATTATTTATAGCCTTACAAAAGGTATATATTTAATAGCTAGGTTAGACAAGTAAATCTGTAAAGTAAATCTAAGATCCTTAACTAGGACTTTTAGTTCATAAGAATTGATCCTTAATTTAGCTCTTTTAATGATCAAATTTTCTTAACAGCTCGTTAAAACACGTGTTTATTTAAACCTAGATATTAACTATTTTCGATGTCTATATATATTTTTCAGTGTGGGGAGAGCAGTGAAAAGGCAAACCCAAATCGCAGACATTTGTTTGAATATGTATTTGGACAAAAGAAGCAGATGGCAGTGCTGCTTTGGAAACCAGTTTGTCTCTTGGGCTCTTAAATATTTATGGTGCTCCAAGACATCTTCGGCTCTTCTTCTGTTTGATCAATAGACGGCAAAAAATATGCGCCATGAACTTGTGAAACAAATAACGCTCCCGAATGGGACTGCATGGCGTATACTTGATATTTGCCATGAGGATATTACGTATACGTAACAACATATATTCCCCGTGGGAACTTTGCGTTTACTTGACAATTCAATAGAATTGATTAGATTATAAGTCGCATTCGGATCGAACTTTGACAGCAATTAACAACCATAAAAAAATACTTAAATCTATTCTAATTTACCTGCTAAAAATCTCACAAATTATATGGCAGTTTCAGTGCACTTTTAAAAAACTGGGAATGCAACAAAGCAAACATTTGCATTTTTTTTTTTTTTCGTCTCAAAGTTCGCTACATGGCCGCCGCTGTACAAGATCTTTTTGCGGAATTCTAACCAAAAACACGTATCTGGCCATGTAATCGACAAAGCTGGCTAGCTTCGCAATATTAACATGTGCAAACAGTTAGCGGGGGAGCCGATGAATATGCATGACTTGGCTAGTAGCCCTTAGTTGATCCCATCAAACAGACCCGAAACACGCGTCATCCCATATTGGGCGGTGGTTTTTAAATACAATCTTTGTCAAGGGCTTTTCTAGTGGCCGAATGACTGGAGGAAAAGCTATTGAATCGATCATCAGGAAATGCCTTATAGGGTCAGGCAAGTTCCCACCATGGAGTGGCAGATTCTGGTGGAAATTTTCCAAGTTTGGGTAATTTTCCACTAACCGAATAATAAATATTGAAACTTGTTTCAACTTTAAAGTGCCTTTCAAACCATATTCGTTGGCAAATTTCCATTCAAAAGAGTCACATCGGTTTTTGGTGTCAGCAAATTCTTTTTACAAACTTTTGTATTTCGAAATTTCTTAATGTGCATGCTTGCCCCACCTTATCATATAATTTATGTAAACCAAACAACACAGTAGAAAAAAACCACAAAACCTGGCCTTGAGTTTGCAAATAAAAATTTGCATAAAATATCCAAATTTTAACCCAATCTGCAAAGTATTATTAAGACTTTGCATTAAGCGATTGCAATTTTTTTGATTTGTTTTCTCCTTTGCCGATGGGTAATTTGGATTAAATGGGGTTTTGGTTTAATTAATTTGTTTTAGCACTTGTTTTATGAAATGAAAAATATATTTCTTATTTATTTTAAATATTTATTAAATAGCAATAAAATAATACTTACTTCTTTAGAATCTTTCTAGAGTTGTAAGTAAATTTAATAGCATTTTTCTTTTATCCAATTTTTAAGCTTAAAAGGTTTGTTTTATTTTTATCATCATTACAGAAAGTTTGTTATATTTATAAGCAATTTCTTTAAATTATTCATTTCAGTAAGTTGAAGGAACTTGACACATGTTTCGTTTATCCTCTTCTGCTGGCCAACAATCAAACCCAAATAAACTTGAAAACGGAACTGTCTGTTTTTTTTTTTTTAGCTCTTCCGGTGGTCATTCCCTGGCCGAGAGTACAATGACTTTTTTAGGTTTTGCGGCTCAGAGTAATGCTTATTTTTTTGCGAGCACACGCTGCGTATACTTAATGGCACAACCTTCGGCCCAGAAAACCAAAACATTGGCTTTAATTCAAAACTCGCAGCCAGGTGACGATCTTAATGATGCCACGCAGATGGTTCGCATCCAATTTTGGCCAGCATCTGGTGGGTGTCGTCGATCGCCGGCCAAAATCATTGTTCGGGAGTGTTTTTGTGGCTGTGGTCCAGCCAGCTCTTTGTGGCGTTTTGTTTTTATTTTGGACTCTTGTTAGTACTACTGGCCTTATTCGAGCATGGCATATTAAAAACAAAAAAAAACCCCGAGTTCAAGGTTGCAGCACTCGTTAAGATCATCAAATTACCAAAGGCGATCGGAAGAAGCATCAAGGGAAGAGGAATTCTATCTTGGATTTGGGGTAATGAGCACGGAAAACTAGCAAATCCGATGCACTTAATCCCCAGCAAAAGTCACTTGAGGCTGCACCTCCCAGTTGTTGTTGTTGTGCGCCGTTGGGCAATGTCGGATGATTGATGCGTTGATTTCGCGTTGCCAAAGTCTCAATAGCCCTCGAAGCCGCAAAAGGCAGTCACAGCAGATGCAATTGCAACAGGTGCCATCACTCAGAGAAATTTTTGAGCTTAGAATCTAGTTTTTAGAATATTTTGTTGATTTATTTTTAACATATTTTGTATTATTTGTATGTATTTTAAAAACCCGTTACTGTTTTAGGCTTGCTGGTTAGTATTTTAAGTATTTTAAAATACTTTTCTTACAGTATATTATTTTAAAAATTTTATTAAAATCTAAATTATTTCTGGCTGTGTGCACCCACCATTGTTGTTGCTGCTGGCAGTGTTATTTAGATTATTAAATAACGGTTAAGTCAAGTGGCATTTCCCGATTCTGCAAATCATTCTCGTCGACTTTACATTAACGTGGAATTTCAGTCTGAGGCAATGCAATCGAAAGTGTGAAATACCAAATAAAGACAGCCGCCAAGAATAATAAAGGTAGATACAAGTCATTCTCCCGCAAAAACTGGCCCTGCCCAAAACCAGCGATTATAGATCGAAACCCGTTCAATTTGAATTTAACGCCATCTCCGAAGATTTTGAAAAGTATTGAAAACAATAAAATGTTAAATTAACACGGCAACTGGACATCCCCAGCTAACATCATTTCGACCACATTTGTCAACAGGTCCACGAGAAGATTCAAAGCAAATCGATCAACAACCAGCTCCATTCGGGGAAGCTGGCGTTCGATGGTATGAAGATGGAATGGTGAGACGAAGAGCAGATGATGGGATGGGGTTTAGTACGCATATATATAAAAACAAGAGAGACATTAGAAATTGCGCAAGGCGGTCGGTCGTTCGTTCGTGTGCGTTTGAACATTGATCGGCCATCGTGAAAATATATCAAGGTCAGCTGGTTGACACAGAAACCGAACGAATCGGCTAACTAACATTAATTGATGGATCTGTGCGTCCCAAGTCGGGCAATTTCGTAGCCTTCCAGTATTCGGGGGGAATAATATAATCTGCACTGCGTTGATCTGGCAAATCCGGTGATTTGCATGTGAAGAGACATTAAATTTTATAAATGAATTCAATTAAGGTCTTTATTATATATTGGTATAATTTAATTTACTTTTCGGCAGACTCAAACTTGTTTTCATTCACATGCTAAGTTTGGTCGTAAAACTGGCATGTAACGGTGAATGAAATGCATTTACGATAATTAACACGCATCTCGATTGTTTGTGCGCGATTTTATTGATTTGAATACGTAATTCAAATGACGCGCTTGACTGTGGCCAAGAATGGGCAGCACTGGCTAGATATCATACATGTCCCACGCTGGCCACACTAATGTATGAGAGTTTAACAGAAAAGTGCGGGTGAATTCAAAAAAATTAAAGCGTTAACAGAAAATTGCTGGTGAATTACAAATAAAAGGTATACAGTAAGTTATTATGAACTTTATAATTATTATCATGAATGAAAGTAGTTCGTTGTTTTTTAACATAATTTTTTGAAAAATCCACCTGGTATTATTCCTTTATAAAAGCTCGTTTTCTTGTTTGCCATCGGTGTTTCCAACTCTTCAGGGCACAAATAACCTAACCCAACCGTTGAAAAAGCTAGATAAAGCCAGAAAATGTTTTTTCGCTAGCTAAAAGTGTTTAAATACGCTGGTCACACTAAGCTGTTAGCAAAAAAATTTCTTTCGCTAGCTAAAAGATTTGTTTATAACTTAAAGCTTCCTAACCGGCCAAAGAATCTAACAAACAATGCGCCATAATCGGGTTCGGGGGTTCGGATTTAACGAAATGGTTCAGTTAATCGAGCAAGTTCACGCTCATACCGTTTTGTGGGACGTTCGACACAAAAGACATTTAAATGGGGCACACTTAAAAAAGGCCTGGGAGAGCGTAGCAGCTGGACTAAATAAGGACCGTAAGTTTTAATGTTATAATTGTAATGCTGATAATCCCAAATAAATAATATGTATTTACACCACAGCCGTTATTTGCAAAACAGCCTGGCAATCATTGCGGGACAGCCATAGGTATTACTCCAAAATGGGGCAGAAGAAAGGATCGAGTTGGGTCAGTAGCAGGTGGAGCCTTTCTTCCCACTTAAGTTTCCTGCCCAAGGACAACAAAGAAAGATGGTTTCTGGCGTGAAATACCCTTAAATGTTAGTTATCTTACATATGTTTATCTGCATTTCAGGAAATCATCTTCGCCGACACTCAATCCCCTTGAGTTGGAAGACAGCTTATCCGCTCAGGATAAGGACTTTGAATGCGAAGAGGCAGCCTCCCAGCTGGAAACAGATATCAGTAGCTTAATTGAGGAATCTAGGCATCTGGACAAGGATCTCTCGAATTGGACTGGGGACTTGTGCTCATCCGTAGGTTTATTATAGGTAGACTGTTATTACTATAATTATACATCTATCTTTGACTGCAGATTGGCAAAAGAGAAGAGTTGTCACCGATAAAAGAGGAGGAACATAAACATAAGCCAAAGACTAGTCCTTCCAGGCCAATTTTTGCTTACTGGGAGTCGTTACTGAACAAGATGGCCCCGGAAGATGCCGATGCAGCCGAGCAGCAGATGACGCAAACGCTCTGGGCCGAGATGGCGGCTATAAAGTATAATAAAGGTCGCTAGTTTAGAGTTTTAAGAGTTATTACCATAGTTTGAGATAAGGCCAAAGTCTTGGGAACTTATTCCTTCGTTATAACGATAATATTTTGATAACTTGTTCTACGAAACGAATAGACCTAATAAACGTGTTGTTAAGTTTCCTGCAGAAACTCACATATACAGAAAATGTTTTGCTGATTTGATTTAATCGTTAAATTAAGTAAATTTTATTTGTAAAAAGCGCAGTAAGACCGTAGGGCCACTGCTAAAACGCATTTTGTGTTATTTTTTAGCCCATTGTCTGGTCACACTTTTCTCCTACCATTCAGCCGACTTATTTTACATCCGATGCCAAGAAAACAGAAATGCTGCGCCAAAATCTGTTGGATCAGCTCAAGCACTTTATAGAGACAGTGAGCAATGGGCACAGTAACCCCCAGCTGCTCACCAATCCCAGTCTCATCAAGCTCGCGTGAGTAGCAACCGTAGGATTGTTGCTCCCGGAGCGGCGTAAACAACTCGAGCTCTTTTCAGGTTGGGCTTTCTGGAGGAGCTGCCCGCCACGCGTGACATTGTATTCGAGTACTTCGCCCTGCTGGCAGAGATCAGCGTTCAGCTATATGTATCGCCAGAGATGGCGGACCCAAAGACCGGTATGCCGGTGTCGCAGGTGAAGCAGGCCGGGAACCGGCAGCAACAGGCGCGTGCACCGGAGTACGAGAGTTTCAACATTGTGAAGACGGCGCTACAGAGCCTAGTGTGGAAGGGACCACCTGCCTGGTCGCCGCTCATTGCCAACTGGAGCCTGGAGCTGGTGGCAAAGCTGTCGGATAAGTACACCCAGCGACGCATGACCATCACGGCTAGCTGTAACTATTGGCTGGAGTGCAGTGCCATGCATGGCCTTATGAGCCTAATCAACAGTTGCTTCCGGAAGCTAACCCAGCCGGAGGAGGAGGCCTGCGTGGAGATCATGCTAAATGCCTTCCATCGGTTTCCCATGACCTTTGACTGGATTGTGGCTAGGCTGGGCGGCTGCTTTCCCTACAAAATCATCATGCAAATCCTGCAGTGCGGCATTAAGCGCTTTGTGGAGGACTACCGGTGTCATCTCGACTCGGAGGCGGGTATCCTGGACTATATGACATCGTGCCACGAGCAACACCTGAGAGCCGCTTTTCGCGAAATGCTTAGGGAGGGATTTGCGCCCAAGAAGCCACTAGATGTGGCCGTGGTGCCTTTCTTGCTAATCACCACCAACTATTCCGATGCAATTCTCCAGAGCTTGGTTAATGTTCTTGTGGAAATATGTAAGTATCTATTACTGAGAATAAAACAGTTAATTTAAAAACCTTTCCCTTAGACTCCGAAGACATGAGTGAGGTAATTGTGCAAAAGTCGCCGCTCTGGCTAAGCAACAAGATGTTCGCCGACATGCAGCCCACACTTAACAACGCCGTCCTCCGGCTGAACGAGCACGGAGCCACACTGCTTATCACAGCCGCCAGGATGGCCGAGAAGTTTACGTGGTGCCAGGACTTTCTGGACAACTCCATGCAGGAGCTAGAGCAGTGGGTGCTCAACCAGCGCAACTTTCCGCTGCTGGCGGATTTGGCCTACGAAGAGACCAAGTATATGCTGTGGAAAAGCTGTCTTAGCACCAATCTCTTCGAGCAGCAGACGGCAGTTCGATTGCTGCTGGTGGTCTGTGAGTAGATATATGAAAATTGCCAGAGTTTCCTAATTATATAAACTGAATCTTTCTTAAATGTAGCTTCCCAACATCCTCACATATACTATCAGACCATATCCCAGCTGCTAAGAAAATCGTATGCTCAGAATCCCAATGGTATTGGCGCTCTTATCCGTCTGCTGGGTGGCCAAAGTGGTATGGTCAACTTTCCCGGCTTTACGCCTGGCTTCCAAATGGTCCTGGAGGACATCACGCTACATGTTCAGGTTAACAGTCGCTTACCAGTGCCACCGGGCACGCCGACAGAGGCGTTCAACACATTCTCCAACCTCAACATACTGGCCAAGTAAGAAGTCAACAATCTCTTAATCTGTCTTACCTAATAAATCTCATTTAGGATGCACAAGAGCAAGAATGTGGCCCCCTACATCAAGGCGCAGCAACTTAATCAAGCCCTTAACGAGTGTCTGCCCAAAATTATTCAAATCTTTGACTGTACAGTCAATAAATTGGTCCTCAAGATGGACAGGGACGCGGCCGAGAACAGTGCTCAGAAATTTAAAGCGCAACAGGCAAACAATAATAACAACAACAATGATTTGTGCAATGGTAAAGACTACGGCAAACGACCAAAGCTGGAACCGGGCGAGGGTAAGGTAGAAGATGAACACGCCACCCGCATGCGTCTGGCGCATCTTATCGTGGATCTGCTGAACAACATTGATGCGGGCAGCCGAACGAACGTCCTGCGAACTCCGATGGTTCTAAAGCTAGCCGTGCTCAGCGTAAAGTACTTTTTGTGGGACTCACTGAAAGAAGTAAATGCAAGCTTAATATGGGTTATATGTTATATCTTATATGATCCTTCCTTACAGCTGTGATCCGTCGTGCTGCAGCCTCTCATCGTTCCTTCACCCTGCTGCAGCGGCAGTGTTCCGCTCGGAAGATTGCTCGAACTGTTTGCCTGCGTGAGCTCGTTGAAGGAGCTCTCTTCTATCACGGCCATCTGCTGGGCCAGCTGGAGGAGTACGAACTGGATGAGTTGAAGATACCAGAGCACGAGCTGCTTATCCTGCAAAACCTGCACACCAGTTCCGGCGCCAACTCAAATCGTTCTGTGCTGCATTCCGGTATCATCGGAAGAGGCCTGCGGCCTGTGCTGCCCACAAATGAGCGAAGCTGCGATGCGGAAAAGCAAGCGCTGTATCTGAAGGCATTGAATGCCTGCTGTGCGGATCTGGAAAAGCCGAATAACGTGGAGGGCTACTCATTGGTCTCGCTACTACTGGTCGAGCTGGTCTCCACGGATGTCATGTACAACGGCCTGCCCTTTCCGGACGAGGAGTTTACCAAGGTCACTATGGAACGGGACATGCAAATCCGAAGGGCGTTCATCACCTCCCCTGTACTGTGGGCGGTGTTGGGATTGATAGCGGCCCACAGGCCGGCCCTGTGCTACTCCTCAGTGCTACTGCGTGCTCTATGCGCCACTTGCCTGCATCACTGGCGGGGCAAAAATGGTGAGATTTTGGATGAAATGCAATTATTTTCGTTTTCCTTTAACAAAAACACATTTCTTTAGTCAACAAATACCAGCCCACGTCTGCCAACGATGAGCTAATGCTCTGCACCAAAAAGATGCTGCAGCTGCTGGCCATGAGCCAACTAATTCCACCGCCACTGACCAACCTGCATCTCATTATCGATCACTTCGAGTCGGCAGAGGTATGATGTTTAAAGTAGTTTTTGCTTACTTGCGGTTTATTATTTATATTTATCTTTTCAGATCGCTTTGCTGCTGCGCGAGTGCATCTGGAACTACCTTAAGGATCACGTGCCCTCGCCGGCACTCTTTCACGTGGACAACAACGGACTGCACTGGCGCAATACGAACACGCCGCTGGCCAGAGTACCGCCCCAGTATGTGGACACGTTGCGCCACCTTATGCAGCGAAAGCTCTCCACGCTGGGCCAACACTACCACCAGATGTTCATCATGGGCGAACTGATGGCGGGGCAATCCGAGCCGGATCCCACGGCCCGGTTGGAGATCGTAGAACTAGATTAAGAGTCTGTAGTTAGCTAGCCTAATGTCGTGTGTGCGTATGTGTGTATGGAAGGGTGTGTGGAGCAAACTAAATGCAATGTTTGTAATTGATCTTCAACGGGTTCTTTTATTTTCGTTTCATTGATTTGTAAAAATTAAAATCTCAACCTAGGCCTTGCAAATACTGTCCAGCAGTTATTGTATCGTCGGCGCCTGAAAATCGCATCGTGTTTGTGTAGTTTAGAATATAACGAAGCCAACAACAAATTTCCTTGAACATGTTTCTTTATGTGTGCAAAAGGATGGACACCATCTCCGCCTCTTCTTGCTCCTCCTCCTCCAGCGATCCCCCGCCGCCTTCAGTACATCATATATATTAACGACTAATTTACGCTTTCATTTGCTTCATATATAATACACAGTATTGTCACATGGATATATAGCTTTCGTATCGCCCGATTGCTTGCCCAATTTCCCACCAGCCAACTTTGAGTTTTGTGCTGATGCTGCGACATCCTGGGCTGCGCCTGGCACTCCTACATGGTTCTATGGTTACAAATACTTGGCGAATGTAGGACAACAAAAACGGGAAAACAAAACCAAAAAGTTGCTCACAATTTGTTAACAAAGTTATTACTTTCAATTACTCTTAGCTTCTAATTTGGTGGCGGCGCCTACGAAGTCCGGCAGTGGCTCAGCTTGCGCACGGAGATGCAGGAGGTCAGCTTTTTGGCCCGGCGCTTTAGCGCCGATCCCTTCTTCTTAACCGGTGCCTCCTCCGTGCTTCCATTGCCCAGTGAATGTCCGGAGGAGGCTGCAGCGGCGGCGGCAGCACTAGTAGAAGGTGGCTCATAGGCGTGGCAGGCTGCATGGGCCGCCGCTGACTGCTTGGACCGAATCTCGGATGCAGCGGCTTGTGCTTGCCGGGCGAGCTCCTCTGCAAAAGAAAAATATAGCAATATTAAATTTATTTCCTAATCCTCAAAACCACTAATTATCGAAACCTACGGTTAACGTCGTGCTCGGTGAAGTAGACGTCCTCCTGGTCCTGATCGCCGTAGTGGTATGCCTCCAGGTAAGGCACCACAGTTGAACTGCGGTACTTGTCGCCCTTCAGCGGGGGAATGGGTATCGGTGGGCCGGTCACCGGCGGGGCGGACATAAACCAACTAAAAGATATCAGCCATAAGTTACCCACACAGTCCAACTATGAGTGTCTTTGCAACTCACGTATCATGACGGATCTCTTGGAGCGAAAGCCGTTTACTGGGATCAGCCTGCAGCATGCCCAGAATGAGCCTGGCAAAGTCTGGATCCATTTCGTAAAGCCAATCGGGTGCCTCCCACTGTCCGCGGCCTATGTTCTCCAGCAACCGGTATATGTTGTCACCCTCGAATGGATACTGTCCAGTAGCTAGGTTGTAACTGCAACAAGGGGAAATTTAATATGGTATAGGATTATGGAGCACTAAGTTCCATGCTTACAGTGTCACTCCGCTGCTCCAGATGTCCACCTTAAAGCCGGCAAAGGTCTCGTGTCCGTTGGCAATTTCTGGCGGCTGGAAAGCGGGCGATCCCTGGCCCGTGGTGCAAGTGTCGTCTGGCGCGAAGAGATCCAATTGCTCCGCCACCCCAAAGTCGGAGATCTTCAGGGTCTGGTCAAGGGAGAGCAGCAGATTGCCCGGCTTGATGTCCTTGTGTATCACCCGGCAACTGTGCAGGTACTCCAAGCCATCGACCAGCTGTTGGAAGTAGCCGTGCGCCTGGAACAGCGGCATCCGCTTGTCCGACTGGTAGTCCACCATCTCCTGCAGACCGCCAACACAGTACTCCATCACCAGGTACATCTTCTGCTTCTCCTCGTTGTACAGTACGTCCATTAGCTCCACCACGTTCGGGTGCTTTAGCTGCTTGAGCAGGTGAATTTCGCGGGTAACGTTCTGTTCGCCGTTGGGGATCCGACGCAGTTTACGCTTTGTAAGGATTTTTACCGCCAGCCGGCAAAGGTTCTCCGAGTTCATGGCCTCCTTCACCTTGCCATAGGAACCCTCGCCGAGCACGTCGCCCATGATGTACTTTCCGACCATTTTGATGTTCTTCTTCTTTTGCTGATAGATTATGTCCTGGCTGTCAACGCGATTGAAGAACATATTGCCCATGTCCAGTGTAACGCGATCCAGGGTCTCGATCTCGTCGTCGTTTAGCCAAGTGACCTGCGGATGGGGCTGGTCCTCCAGCAGTTCGTCCTCTGTATAGAACCCCACGCCGCCCGCTGGCTGAATGTCCACCTCATGGCCCTCCTTCAGTTCCACGAACGGCTCATCCAGCTCCGAAGCCGTGTCGAAGTGAAAGTTCTTATTGGTCAATAGAACGGTCATCTCGTCGCAAATGGGATCCTCCTCGCCCAGGGCCTCCTGCTGCTGCGCTCCGCCGCCGCCCCCGCCGACGGGATGGTGTGCTGCCTTGACTGGTGCCTCCATGGTGGTCACAGTCATCTGGACAGGCTCTGCCTCTGATTGCTACTCCTCCTCTCGCTTCTCCTCTCGCTGGCGCTGGTGCTAGTGCTCCCGCCTCTGCCACACCCTCTCCTTCTGGCTCGCCCCGATCCCGCTTCTCCCTCTCCTGGGCGAGAGCTAGAACATTGCATAAACCGCCGGACGAAAGGGCCCACTGCTCACATCGTTCGTCGCACCCGCCGGCGGAATGGAATGGCGCGAACCGGATCGAAGGTGCTGCTGCGACGGCCTACGTACTGGGGGCTACCTCCTCCTCCCTTGGCTGGCTCCTCCTCGACGCCGCGTTTATCGCACACCTCTCGAAATAACTTTATTTTTGTAATCAATTCGCACAGACACACACGAACGAACCGAGTTGCCGTGAGGTTTCTCGAGGTCTCTCGTCGCTGCCCGTAAAGTGCGCGAAATCCGTCGGATTGCCTCTGCCCCCCTTAGCCGCACAGTTCCCAGCGACTCTGTTTTTCATCAATTTCTGTTAATTTCTGTGTTTACTCGCTTAATTTGTTTTTCCCTTTCCAAAAAAATTGTTTAACAATTATTTATGGTCAAATTGACAATTGCGCGAGACGGTCACACTGCCGCACGCGACCAGGGCTGCTCGCTAGCACACTTTTTGTTGTTCTTTTATTATTGTTGCCGAGGCAAACAGCAAAACAAACGAAGAAATTGTATTTGTTTTTAAATACTCGAATATCAGCGAACGTAAAGTCATGGCCGCAGGGATTACCACCAAGGAGCGTCTGGAGCGTCTGATGGCCGCCAAGGCGCAGTTGGAGGCGCAGATCAGCAAGCACGGACAGATCCTAGCCGCCGTGAGTAAAGTCGCGCATTCATCTACGTACCCTACAACACTGATTGTAGGGTATACCAGTTGCACATTCAGTTTGTTTTTCTTTTTTGTGAAGAAGTCATTTCCCACCTTACAAATCATATATATTCTTGATCAGCATCAACAGCCAAATTGATCTAGCACAAATCTGATAGAAAAGAAATGTATTAATTTTTTCAAACATTTTCAATGGATTACATTGTTATAATTATAGAATTAAAAAAAAAAATATTTTTTTAAATTTTAGATTGAATATGCAGATTTATAACCATTATAAAAACTAACATAGGAAAGCTTTCCGAATTAAAATTAATGATTTTTTGGCTTAGCTATGGGATTTTTAAACTTTGATTTGTGAAAAATGATTATTTTTCAAAAAACTAAGTTCCTTAGGGATAACTTTATAAAATAAAATATAAATATAAAAATAAAATATAATTATAAAATTCATAAAGCTATAGAGTATGTTAATCATATATGTTTATATAGCTAGCCTCTGGAATAATTAATATGCAAGTATATAGAGCTTAATGCTTTCTGTTTCAGAACGACAATGTGGGCATGAATGGTCCACTGGTGGACTTGGAGGGCTTTCCACGCAACGACATCGATATCTACCAGGTTCGCCAGGCCCGCCAGTCCATCATCTGTCTGCAGAACGACCACAAGGAGCTGATGAATCAAATCCAGACTCAGCTCAACTTGTACCACAGTGAGATTGCTACCACGGATCCTGAGCTGGTGAACCGTGCCTCAGCCCTGGATTTGGATAGCGATCGAACCACCGGTGGAGCTAATATAACCAACCTTGCACCCGCTCGCGCCTTTGTCGTGGTCAATCTAGTCAGCCCCAATTCCCCCGCAGAAGAAGCTGTGAGTATCATTGGTACGGGGATTTTTTTTTGTAGATCCTAAACAACTCTCAATTTTAGGGACTTCGTGTGGGCGATGCTATTCTCCGCTTTGGCTCCGTCAACAGCGACAATTTCAAAGGAGATCTCGGCCAGATTGGTGAAATAGTTCGCAACATGCAAAACCAGAATGTTCAACTCAAAATAAAGCGCGGCGAGCAGCAGCTGGATCTGATCCTTGTGCCGAAGACCTGGAGCGGACGCGGCCTCCTTGGCTGCAACATAGTCCTGCCTCCCGAGGCCATGGAGCACTGATTTCCTTAACTTATAAGCTTTGACGCATTTGCCAGTGTACACTTGCTCTGCATTTACTTATCAACTCATGGCCAGGCCACAGAACATGTTTGCACTAAATGGTGAAAATTGATTTTTAAATTGGTGCCCTGTTTTTAGATTCAGACTTTCCGGCCAATTTGGCCAGGACAGTTCTGTTGATTGACAGCCGGGTCACTGTGCCAAGGAACAGCTTCAGCTTGGACAGAGGTAGGTAAGTCAAGGCGACAGGTAAAGGCTCACAAATTACTATTTTGATGGTGATGAGGTGTCTAGGATGCGGTCCACTTTTTCTATGAATCAGATTTACTAATGAAACAAATTTATTTTTTAACTTTTATACTAGTTAATACAAAATTCTAAAAGAAAAAAAAAGGATAAGCTGTAAAAATAATAACTAAATTAAGGAAAAGTTCGGATTAATAAATCTAATGTAATTTAACGTTCTTGAAAGTTTATTAATTGCAATAATAATTTTTCTACAATTCTATTCATTTTGCTTAAAATTTGAATTAAACTTTATTAATGGTTTTATAAAGTAGTCAAATTTTTTATTTTACTATTTTCTTTGATTCTTTTTTTTGGAAATATTAAATTTTGATTTCCTAAATTACAAAAATTAGTAAGTAAATTCTAATGAAATATTTAAATCAACAATTGGGACTTAAGCACATCCTGTCAAAACTTCTATGAATCCTTTGGCCAGCAGAGTTATCAACCCTGTTAGCAGGGACTCAACCCCAAAAGACGCAGGACTCGCAGCAACTTGTTACAGGTTTCCCCCAACCGGTTCACATCCAGAGAGGGAGAGAGAGCCTTAGCAGCGAGAGGATGTTTTGCAAAAAAAAGAGATACTCGCAGGACGAGCTTTCGCATCCAAAAATCTATTTAAGCAACACGCAGCGTAAAAGTTTTGAAAAATTTTCGCCCGCGCCGCAGCTTCCGTTTGCAAACTATAAAATATATAAAGTAAATATAAGGAAAAATATCATTAAAAAAAACGCTGGCACAACGTCAAGACGCTATAATAGTTTTTTGATTATAAAAAATATTTGTGATTATTGTGATAAATTGTCCTTCACAACCCTGCTGGCTGGCAGAGCAGCAGAAGCAGAAGCAGCAGCCGACAGTTGTGCGCCGGAGCAAAGCTTCCGCCGTTCCGTGCCGTTGAGTCAAGTCGAGAGCATTACGGATGCGAATCCGAGTGGCGACACAAGTGGGGCCCAAGCGGAGCCAAATTACGGTAGTGAAAAAATTGTGGGGCGCCCAGCATTTTGTGCAATTATCGTTGGACAAATCAAAGGATTCGCGCGGTGACTGCAAATTACGTCTAACTCCAAGGAGCGGAAACCCACATGTGTGCGTGTGCGTGGTGCTTTACATAATGGAACAATTCAAATGTGAGAAGAGTCCTGTTCTCCTCCGTCTCCTTCCCCTCTTATTTTTTTTGTTCTCTTTCTCGTCGGGATGGGATGTGGTGGTGGACTGGGAAGTAGGGGAATTCTCTTGCTAGTGTCACTGTCATTGCCAGTGCATGGGAGGACGTGTGGAGGAATGAGGACACACACAGGCAGGATGCGGGGGAAAAGCTGCGCGAAGTAGCACAACAAACAAGCAGGCAGCACCAACACGGGCAGGGAAACTAACAAAAAAGTTAACTAAGGGCTGGCATGGGTAGCATCGGCATTGTCGGCGGCATCCTTTTTGGCTGGCAAAAACCACCCCACACAATGCCCGCCGAAGGAAGGACCAACATTTTGGCTACTTCATTCGATAAATTAAAAAAAGCCCATGCATGTGTGTCTGTGTGCGTACACTTCAACGCGCTTTGAACCTCACACGTACTCAGACTTACACACACACACACACTAACAGACGCGCGCAAACACACTCGGAGATGTACACACACAGTTGAATAATTCAGAGACAGAGGAGACTGCTGCAATGCTGCCTCATTGTTCATCAATAAATTGCCGTTAGATGGCCACCACACTCACACACACACACGCATACAGTCACACACAATCGCTTCGCGAGAGCTTTCATTTTTCGGCGTCTCATTATCCCGCCTGTTAACTGAATTATTCAACAATTACAGCTGAGATTTTGCAGCTTCACACGTTGCCAAAATGCCGTTTTGCCAGTGTGTCCACAAATCCTTACGCTCATTGGCGAAGGACACATGCAAATGAATTTTTCATTTGCATGTTTGCGTGCGGTACTTGTGTGTGTGAGTAAGGTGAGATGAAGTGTACACACAGCAGCGGTCAAAAAAGTAGCACTTCCGGCGGATGCATAACTCTCTAGCTCACTTAATTTCACTTAAAGACCTTTAACTATACCGGAAATGCTTCAAGAAACCGGAAATGGTAAAAAGAAACAATTTGATTAGCTTCAGGATTGACAAGTTTTAACAAACATTGATCTTTTTCGATGCTTAAAGGATTAAAACAATCACTTTTAAACACTGTATACATAAAAATATAATTAAAACATTACATGCTCTTTGTCAATACAAAGAGGCGTATACGTAATATTTGCAACAGAACTTACTTTACCCACAAAAAAAGCCCAAAAATAAGTGGAATAGGTAGAAAATCCCTCAACTATTGACCACGCCTGTTTGGCAGAGTTTTCCCAGGCGGGGAGAAGTGTCTGTGTAATGTCTCCTGTTGGGGCTGATATTGATGATGACAGATTAGTTGCACGCGCTATTTTTAGCCCAGGCCATAAAACCTAATTCAAGTCATTCCATGCAGGAAGGACGCGGCCACAACTACAGCGAAATGCCGCCCGTCAGCAGCAGCAGCAGAAGCAGCGAGAGCAGTGGCAGCATCCTTGGGAGCAGTGCCGCCGCCCGATGAAGGATTGCAGCATGGCCAGCACTCGCACATGCACATGCACTGGCACATGCACACGTATGTACATGCAGCACAAATAACACAAGGACATGGAAGGCGCAACGAACGCGACGAGGACAGAGGCCCACGGCCTGTGACAGAAATAAACGCCACCTGCCGCCAGCTCCTTCTCCGCCTCAACAGAAGCTAACCAACTAAAAACGTGAACGCCCCCGAGTGATATTATTTTTAATGCAATCAAAGTGCTAAGTGAGTTTGCCAAAAAGCAGAGACTACGAAAACTACGACGAAGAGTGAGCGGTGAGCGTGGGCTTGGGCGCGTTGTTAACCCAATTTAAAAGAAAAGGCACGGGCCAGAGGAAAGGAGAAGCAGACCCTCCCCCTCCCCCCTCCCCCTTATGGACCACGGCAGGTGCTGCCTGCCGCAGGGGAGCCAGTTGAGACAGGAAAAGTCCTGCAAGCTGTATCGCAAGCGGAGGCGACGCCACTGAATGCAGCATCTGCATCTGCATCCGCAACCGACGCATCCATCAAGCAACGATCAAGAACCAATACTCGCCTAAATGAAGAATGAAGAAACAAAATGTGCGCACGATATCCTTGATCGTGTGTACATTTACCTATTTGCTAGTCGGCGCCGCTGTCTTTGACGCCCTCGAATCGGAAACGGAAAAGCGTCGTTGGGAGGCGCTGCAAGGTGAGTGCACACACTTGAGAATATACTGGAAAAAAATGTAGAAAATATGAATTTAGAATTCAGTTAGATTAGTTCAAATTATTACATTTAAAAAGGATGCTTGTCTTTAAAGTCCTTTGGCTAATGAATATAGAAATGGATATTTATTTTATTAAAACATTTGTTATTTATTTTTGAAGTTACTAACTGAGTTTTTTAAAGAAGAAATAAAGTGTTATAGTTTTCTTCCAAGTTTTAATACAAATGTAAAGAACATCACTTCATAAAATTATTCTAAGTGTATGATTGCATGTAACTGAGATATATAACGACCGGATGCGGTGGCGTTGGGATTCGTGTGAGTTGCGTCATAAACACTGGTGGGTCGCCTTTTTTTTTTGTTTATAACTATTTGCAGATGCCGAGGACATGATAATACGCAAATACAATATATCACAGGAGGACTTCAAAGTCATGGAGACTGTGGTGCTTAAATCGGAATCGCACAAGGCCGGCCAGCAGTGGAAGTTCACCGGTGCATTTTATTATGCAACCACGGTGCTCACAACCATAGGTGAGTAATGCGACCTACTGAGCTCTTTGGCTCCAATAATAGCACCACATAATAATAATTTCAGGCTATGGACATTCGACGCCCAGCACGGTGGGCGGAAAGCTCTTTACCATGTGCTATGCCATTGTGGGGATTCCCCTGGGACTCGTTATGTTCCAGAGCATCGGAGAAAGAGTGAATAGACTGAGCAGGTATAGTTCATATATTATAGAATCCAACCTATATCTTAAGCTGTATTCTCCCCAGCTACGTTATCCAAGCGGTCCGCACCTCGCTGCGCTGCAAACGGACCGTCGCCTCGGAGGTGGACCTTATATGTGTTGTGACCACACTCAGTTCGCTGACGATAGCAGGCGGTGCTGCGGCCTTTTCAAGATTTGAGGGCTGGAGCTACTTTGATTCAGTATATTACTGTTTTATTACTTTAACCACAATAGGTGAGGGGTCATCAAGTGATTTGTTACTTTTTTTCTAATCAATTCAATTAAATTATTGATAGGCTTTGGCGACATGGTAGCCCTGCAGCGGGATAATGCACTGAACAGGAAGCCCGAATACGTGATGTTTGCACTGATATTTATACTGTTCGGCCTGGCCATCGTGGCCGCCTCGCTGAACTTGTTAGTACTTAGGTTTGTTACAATGAATACCGAGGATGAGCGACGCGACGAGGCCCAGGCCATGCAGGTGAGATCCGCTGGGAGCAGCTCCGGGCCACTCATGCCATTTGTATATTACCGTAGACTTGAGGACTGTTTTTCGAATTTATTTACTACTAACTAACTAACTACTATGTCACTCGTGTACATTCTCATTGAGTCGAGCGAGTACGCTTCCCTGTTTTGGTAGTCAACCGCTTTTCTCTACAGTTTTTGTATCCTAATAATACCAACGCTTCACTATACCCTAGATTCAATCCATAATGTGTACGATTTTTGTAAACCCTTTTGTACGTAACATACATACATATATATTCCACTCGAGTAACTTCCATATCTCTTCCGTCTCATACTCGTACTACCTTCGAACAATTTGCTTAATTCATTTTAGCCTTTAGTTTTGATATATCTGCTTGACACTTTGCTGCACACTTGGCTAACTCTTGATCTTGCACCTTCGGTTTCCTTTTCAATATTTACTAATTGTACCAATAATGTTTTGAACCAATTAATGTAATACAATTTATTCAATGCAGGCCCAAATGCGAGAGAATCTCAAATAAAAAATAAATATTTTCTTTTTTGGCATATTTTCGGTTGCTTTTGACTTAACGAAACGAAACGAAACGATACGAAACGAATCAAAATGCTAAACGCGAGCTTAGTTTATGTCCAAGTCCAGTTTATGGACCAACGAGGTGATTGCGGTTTTTCAGATTCCAATATTTTTGACTAACTCCCACCACAAACTACTTCACCACCTGGCTACTGTACCACACAATACAACAGCACCACCACGACCACCACCACCCAGAACCACACGGACACAGTTCCTCTGCTTTCAACGCTATACTCCACCCACTCGGCATTCGAATACCCGTCCGGTATGTCCTTAATTAATCCTATCACCCCATTGCAGGCGCTTCAAGTGGCTGTAAAGCTGGAGGGCGATGTGATAACTTCCAACGGATCCATATTGAGCGGCTACGAAGGACACGACGGCCAGTCCCTCAACGGAAGCAACACCTCGTCCATGTGCACGTGTCCTTGCTTGAGTCTTAATAGGAACCGGCATAAAAAGTACGTAATCACACCGGGCAGGAGGATGCCATCGCACGATTAGGAAAGGCTTAGGAATAGGCCAGTTAACGATGCCCTCGGTGGGGTAAGGCTGAGGATGAAAAGTGCAGTCATTTCCGGCTTTAGTGTGTGGAGAGTGTATAACATGCCTCGAGTGATAGATGCAGTGCATAATGGGGGGCTCGACAGCGTCTGAGGGCTTTCAAAAGAACTTTGACCTTCTCCTCACATTTCTGACCTTTAATCATTTTTTTCTTTCTTGTCTCTAGCGAGGAGGTTAAAATATTAAACCTGAGGCAGTCTTTTACAAGAGAAAATACTTAAATATTATCGTTTTTTATCGAATATTTTTATACAAAAAACTAAAACCAAAGGGTACAAGGGATCTCCGCAGGAACACCTATAGAATTCCCAAAAGGAAGTTCAGTTAAAAATCTGTAGTAACCAATCTAAAGTCGCTTATTATTTTAAATTATTATATAGTTTTATACTAACCTATTCCTAAGCCATCCTAAATTGATCTTGTAAATGTGTGTACTCATTTTGGTTTTCATCGCGCTCCTTTTCTATGGATCTCTGAAGGAACAACCACTTGGGCAAGAACGGCGACGCAGAGTAAGCTTTCATTTCATCCCAATAAATCTCAGTCCATCCTGCATGCCCTGTATATTGTTTTTCTCTTATTTATTTTCAAAACTTATTTAATTTTTCCTTAATTCTTGACCCACAGAAATCAATACAAGCTGAGGCGATCGCCCACGCATATGCGACACCTGCTGCCAGAGGTGGTGCCGATGCAGGACTTGAACTATGACTATGACACGCAGAGCCTGCACACTCTGGCCGATCGGGGAACCGTGGACAGCAGCTATATGGGCGTGGACATGGTGGATACGGCGAGCAACGGATCACCGATGCGGCCGCACACATTGTTGAAGCGCAACGTCTCACTTTTATCCTTTCGCATCTAGGAGGAGCTAGGGAGCTAGAGACTTGCCAGTGAAGGATCCAGGTGCAGCGGGATGCAGGAACAACGAAGTGGCGGCCCCGACCCTGTGTGGACCTGCCCTCGCCAAAAACGACTTACAAATCGAAAGTGATAACAAGGCTCTAATAGTACTTAAAAACTTATTTAGATTCATAACTGAATGTAGGACACGATTGAGTTGGTCGGCGGTATTGGATTGGGTGCAGTTTAAGTGCGCTCCCCGAGATGCTATATACATGTATGCATTTACCATGTGAACTAGTGCATAACTCTATATCCCAATAGTGGGCATGATAGCGTAAACCTATATGTATACACATACTACCACTTACAACTAGGGCACTATACAATTGAATGTAAACCACTGCCATTTCTCCGAAAGTCAAAAGAACCCAAGAGCCACTCGAAAGGATTCAGAAACGGCAAAACTCACTATAAAAAGATTGATTTTCCAATTTCAGTGATGCTCTGCAGTCGTGCTGAAATCAAACCATGTATATCTACGTTAATACGTGTTCTTTTTTGATAAATTTCAAACTATTTTAGTTTTTTATAAACTTGTTCTTTCTTAAATTGTCAAGAGAGTGTTCTAATATAATTGGTCAACGAAAAAGTCACCAACTTAACTCTTAAAATTCAACCAAATAATAAATTCAAATAATAATTCAACCGGATAATTAATTCAGATAGATAAATGCAAGAAAACTTTTCCAAAAATAAATCAAAATTTAACATTTATTTCCAAAACTGAGCGTATAAACGTAGAATGCATGCGAAATGCCAAAACACAAAAGGGAATGAAAGTGTCAAATTAAATGCTGTAAATAATCTATAGCTGATTAATGGTAGATGATGTTTAAAAGAATCCATTTTATTCCGATTTATGATTACGTAATGTTTGAATACAAACTCGATATTAATTTACGATTACTGTACGCATATTGTAGTTAGAAAAGCCACATCTAAGGCTATATATCCTCGACATCCAGCTCGATCTAACCCAGTGTCAAATACTTAGCTAGAAGCCCGGAATATTTCTGGCAACTCCAGTGCTCAAGTGACTCCACGATGTGCCAAATAACCCACTCGTACGTGCAAACGGAAAATGTGTGTTTGAATCGTACGTTTTAGACGACCGGCAGACACATACCGTCTCGGATCCCAAGACCTCCCCTTATCGCATTTATGCAAAGAATGCATTTAGTTATAGTTGTAGATACACCACTTGATGCTTAGTTTAGGCATTCCATGGATATTATTTACGGCATTTGCATTTAAAATAGACTTTACGAATATCTGTTCTAGTTAGTTGAACCATATTTTCAAGGCCCTTGCTCACTCGAGACGTCAAACGCTTCAAGAACTCTCTTTTATCCTTATGTGCTTTGTATATATTAGTATATTTACATTTATAAAAAATAATTACTTTAATAATGATACAAAAAAAAATATTGTTAAAACCGAAACTATGTCAGTTTGGGGAACTTAGTTATGTACGTTTTTCATTTAACTTAACGATTTTTGAATTCAGTATATATATAAAAAAGAAAATATAGAAGCAAAGGAAATTGTAATTTTAATTCAGGCAAATAATGCAAAATAGTTCAAATAAGACTTTGTAATATACTTATATTCCGAAATTACAACACAAAAAAAAAGAAAACAATAAACTAAATTTATATGATTAAATTATGGTTTAGTTATTTCAATCTATTTGGAATCAATCCTATAGTAAACAAATTTTAAATGGGATTTAATATTCCTTGTAAGCTATATTTTTAATCGTTAACTCTGTGAAGGAGTCATTTCCGACCCTAAAAGCATATACATATATTCTTGCTCAGCATCAACAGCTATATCTAACTAGCGCCTTAGGAAGAAAATATAATTGCACCAATTTGTTCAAAATTTTATCATCTTTTCATCTTTAAAAATTTAAAAAACTGAACCAAAATTTTAATTTTTTGAAACTTTATATTTAGAATGTATTAATCTAATTAAAACTAAAATGGGAAAGCTTTCCGAATTAAAATTAAGAATTTTTCATAAAAAAATATTGTAAAAAAGCGACTCAAAGAACGTAAATCCTTTAATCTTAGTTATAATTGAATTGATTTGCATAACGATCCTAACATTCAATTGTAAACAGCAAGGGTATATAAACAAAGGCTTCCCAAAGTTAGTTTTCTTTTTATTTTACCTCTTCCCATTAATAACAACATTCAAATTAATTTAGATGTATCCGTATTTATTGAAATTACTCATTTTGTAGACAATTTAAGTGGTTCTCCTCTTGCTCGTTTCACAGTAATTCCACCCCTTCGAAACTACTAAATGTGTTTTGTTGTTGCTCGGCCAACAGATCCCTAAATGGGATTATCCAATCAATAATCATAATTAGTTAGTTATGTAGAAATAAAGATTCCGAGGCTGGTTGGTGGATTTACATGTTTTTTTTTTTTCATTTTCATTCTCATTTTCATTTGCATTTGATTTGGTTTAAGTGGCAGAGGGTTGATATAGTAGGTGTCTGAGTGTTGATTTTTGTAGAGTAGAGTTGTGTTATAGTAGAAGTCTAAAATCAAGTGTTTTGTTAAAATTAATGGGACAGCTAACTAATCTAATCGTCCATGCTCTCGTTATTGCGTTCCGGCGAGGCATTTCCATTTTTGGGCGAGGCCGAGCGGGAGCGGGAGCGGGAACGGGACTTGTTTTCAGCTGATGCGGACCGATCGCTGCAATAGAAAAGCATATTAATAATTTATAGTGAATGCTTTGGAACCACCAATGCTGGAGGGCTACGTAGAGGTGCATCCAAACAAAACCAAAGAAAGCACGAAACGAAAGAAAGAATCGTGAACTATATAGAACCAGCAGGGCCAGCGGGCCTACAACACTTACCGTGAGCGGGAATCACGACGGTTCGACTTGGAGCGAGAGCGGGAACGTGACTCGCGCTTGACAATCGAACGGGAGCGGGAACGGGACTCGCGTTCACGCTTGGGAGAACGGGAACGGGTGCGGGAGTGGGACTTAGACTTGGACTTGGATACATCACGCGATTTGCTGCAAGAAAAGGGAAATAAATAAAATAAGTGATAAGAACGCAACATTAGCTTATCCAAGATCAAAGTCTAAAATTCGACTTACTTTGAACGTGATCGGGAGCGAGAACGCGACTTGACCGGCGACTTGGACTTGGAGCGTCCGCTGCGGGACTTGGAGCGGCTGCGCGACTTGGAGCGCGAATGCGACGAGCGGCGAGAGCGAGAGCGCCTGCGCGAGCGGGAACGTGAACGAGAGCTTGAAGAACGGGAACGTCCACGTCCGCTGCCACCACCACCGCCGCCGCGTCCTCCACGTCGATCCTCAACCAGGTGAATGCGTCTGCCATTTAGTTCGGTATCATCCAGTTTCTCAATGGCCGTCTTCATGTCGGACAGCGAGGCAAACTCAACCACGCTGTAAGAAGAAAAAAACATCTAGTAAGCATCAAGGTTACAATTCCCATTTCATATTAGACACTTACCCTTCATTGCGACGCTGCTTGTGGGCATCCGCATAGGTCACCTCGCCTGCTTGTCGCATGTAATCCTTGAGATCCTGCAGAGGGCGCACAAAGTCGAAAGGGAAAGACCAGAATTAGTAAAATTTAGCTATGGCAGGAATCTCGCAACAGCATCGTCAGCATCTTGCGGCAGTTGTGGTGGATGCAACTCAAAGGACAGCGCGTGCAGCAGATGGAGCGTTTTGAATGGTTCCAGGTTCCAGGGGCTAGTGCGTTTCCGGGCATGGTTCCTAACCAAGCCTCAGTCTCAGTCTTAGTCTCTCTCTCACACAAGTCCCTCTCTTTTCGCATTTAGTGCCCTGTGTTCTTCTATCCTGTGCTGTGGTCGCGCGCCTGCCTACGGGTGGTAATCGAGAATCTCATGCCGCACAAAAGGATCAATCGATCGGGGAAGTAGGGTGGAGCCCAAAGAGCGACCGGAACATTCAAACACTCCACGCTGCACGCTGTACAAAACTAAAGCGCGGTCAATCATATAGATAACAGTGGTTTCGCAATAGTTTAAATAGTTTGTTTGTTTTGATTTTGAAAATAAATTAATGTAAAACAAAATAGTTGTAATTGAATTCTTACTTAATGCGCTTTCAGAGAGAGGAGGACACACACATCGTTTCTACACCGAGAGTTTAGATTGTCTGCCTAGTAACTGTGGGCCAATAGCACCAAGGACACCTCATCGAAGGTCCGATCGAACATCGTTAACTCAACCAGGCAGCCAGTAAACAGTAAGTAGCCAGCAGGCAGGCGGATGAGCGGATGGATGGCCCAACCTCGTTTGGTTCGGTATTCGTTTGGTTGGATTTGTTTTTTTGGTTTTTGGTTTTTTTCGTGTACAACAGATTCATATTAGAAATGGCAAGTAAAGTATTCAAGTGTTGCGGTTTCGTTTTTGTTTTTGGAGGGAGCCACTCCGGATACGGTCAGGAAGAGGTCAGATCAGATCAGAGCAGACATCGATCACTAGCCAGAGCCACCACACCAGAGAGCCGGAGAGCGGAGTATTTGGAGCAGTTTGCCGGGCAGCGTCGGACAACCAGCGGCTTCGGCGCCTCTCTCTCTCACACACATAAACGAACTGCAAAAATAAGAAATACGTTTCGAGGGACGCTGCTCTCTGCTCGCTGCTCCAACCGGTTGGTTGTCTAGTCAAGTTGTCTCAGCCGGAAGCCAGAAGCCGGAGCCGTAAGCCAGTAGCCAGTAGCCAGAGCCGGAAGCCACAAGTACCGGGGAAGTATTGGGGGAAGGACTAAGGTCGGAGGCACAAGCCGAAGCTGGACACTGAACGCGCGACCAGCATCATCATCGTCTTTGATCGATCATCGTCTCATGATCATATCTCATCATCATCTCATCTCATTGTCGCCAAGACCATCTCATCTCTGAATAAGCGAACGCAAGCTTCTCATCTAACCACACTCGACTCGATTCGCGCCCTCACACTCACAATGGCTATAAGGAATTTGACAATTCTTTATATAATATTGTTTTTGATTAGATTGTGAATGTTTTTTTTTTAGCAGAGAATTAAATACCTAACACAAGAGGCCGGCCCACGCCTTTGGTCAGGGGGCGTGGGCAGACCTTTTGACTCTGGTCAGCTCAGCAGCTCATCATCGTCCATCGTCATCGTCTGGTTTTGTTTGGGTATCAGTTTGGTTAACATTTCTTTCATTTCGATTCTAATCGATTTTAATTCTCTATTTTGGAATGGACGAATGGAGGAGGCGGCGGCGATGGCGCATCGTGGAGGCGGTAGGTCGTAGGTCGCAGGTCGGAGATCGCAGATATCGGACCCAAGCGGAGCGACGATCTGGGGCTGCTCTGGGGACTGTCTCTGTCTTCCACAACATCACGGTTTTGCGATACACACTCTATAAACCGGTCGGTCACTAGTTTGTCATTCTCATGGCCATTCGATTCGATTCTCTATCGGGTTGCGGTCCCAATTCGGTTTCAGTTTTGGCCCAAGCATAGCAATCTCTCAGTCAAAACACATCAAACTCTTTTTTATCGGTATCGGTTGGTGTGTGCGAGAGAAAGTAATTGTGGAATGGTATATTACACCGATCAGTACCAGGATTTTAGCAGTATTTATCTTATTTTTTTCGCTTCACTTATTCCTAAGTCAACTATACAGCTTAGAGCTAAATTACAGATTAATGATTGCTGGATTCCCAGACGGTGGTGAAAGGTGGGTAGTTTAGTTAAACACAAAACGGGAGACGGGGACACACCGGGAGTAAGTCGAAATCAAAATAGAAAGAGTGTTCGTTTTGGGATAGGTAAAAAGAGGGTTAGTGGGTATAAAAGGGAGATCCATGTCAATCGGTTAGCTGTTATTATTGCTAAAGCTACACTCCTCGATTCTAGGCTACTATAGATACCAGGCCCAGGGGACTGGAATCGATCCATGCTGTGATCACTTACCTGCCAGCTGACGCGGCTGGACAAATTCTCCACAATCAGGCGGTACTCAGTGCGCAAGGGCGGCCCGTAGCGGGAGGATGATCTGGAATTTTTGTTTCTGGTGAATAATTGAATGGATGCACTAATTAGTATTGACACTGCGCTGCTGCTCGCTCCTTCAGCTCCATCACAAAAAACAACGGATATGGATGGCGGATATTCAAAACATATGCATATTTACACTCGGTTAATGCGCAAATTGTACCTACTATGAGGGTTAACGTGCAAACATAGGATAAATCATAATATGCATAGGAGAACGGAGCGTTAAGGAAATTAAGATAATATAAAAACAGCAAGTCAGTGTCTTTTTTAGTTCCCTTTCACACGGAATACAAAAAGTTAAATGCGTATAATTATATTAGGAACATTATTAATTCTAAATATTATTAATATTATAATATTAGATTTAGACTTCACCTAATTCAATTAAATTGAACTAAGTATTCGTATGATGTCTCAAAATAAACATCAAAAAACATAAGTATGAAAAGGAGTTTTTAACAAAATAAGGAAATAAAATGAATTTTTCAACAATCAATCTTCTATAAATATTTAAATGCTTTTTTATAGCACAGAATAATTAGTTACAAAGTTATCTTAGAAAATAATTGAAGCGTAAGCATGAAAATATATATTTACATTTACTAGTATTTCCTTAAAATCCTAATGTAAATACGCAATTTAACTAATCGCATCGGTGTGAATGGGTTATTTGAAATGCAAATCATTGGGTTTATATGCTTTACTTTAACTAAAACGAAGTTGGGAACGGGCTAGACTCACTATGGCGGGCTGGTCTGTACTTACTTGTCATTGTAACGACCGCCGCCGCCACGACGACCACCGTACCGATCGTCGTAGCGATCGCGATTGCTGCCACGAGCAGTTCCCCTTGCTGGTTCAACAACCACGCTGTAAAAGTGGAACAAAATAGAAGACCATTCATGAATGATGAAAGCAACTTGCTTTTCGTGTCCACTTACCGCTCGCCTAACAGCTCTTTTCCATTCAGTTCGTACACGGCATCGTCGGCATCACGATAGTCTTCAAACTCCTGAAATATCAATTAGTGTTTAAAATTGATTTTAGTAGTTTTGGTACTGAGTACGCTATATGTGATGAATCAGACCACTTATCTTTTATTAACAAAGAGATATGTAATTATTTATGAAAAAACAAAAATATTTTTTTTCTTAATTGTTAAATTAAACAATTGATTGAAATAAATATGAAACTAAATATTTACTATTTCCGACCTTTCCACTACATGTATACGTTTAGCCAGCGTCCACTGTGGTTTCCCTCCCTTTTACTCACCACAAAGCCGTAGCCATTCTTAATGAGAATGTCGCGAGTACGGCCGTAGCCTTTGAAAAAACGCTCCAAATCGCGCTCGCGCACTCCGTACGGCAGACCGCCAACGTACACTCGAGATCCAACCATGATTTACGGCTTTATTTGTATCTCCAGCAAGTGCTGCAATGCCAAAGAAAACATATAATTTATTTTTTAGCTTCTATTTTGCTCGACTGTCCCGCGCGCGTGAATGTGTGTTTCGCCAAGATGGCGACCTCGATATACACACACACACTCGCATGCAAAGTACCGGGTGGCGAGAACGTTGGCGAAATAATCAATACGTGTCTGCAGCGTACCCCGCAGTAGTAACTGTTGCTTAATTTATTACACACGCACGTACCGTTTACTAAAGATTATTCCTGGTAAATTTACAATTTACAAACTCTACACACTTTTCCGGCTTTTTCCTTCAACACGAAAAAATGCACACACGACGAAAACGGAAGTAAAAGTGACAGCTAGGAGCTGTGTGAAACAACGATGTAACATCGATACATATAAGTAATATCGATATATCGATACCTAAGTCGTACCTCAAATATCGTTAGCTTTACGATATTTGCAGGGTATTATAATTTCAGTAAGAAAATTGCAATGCAATAAAGGTATCTTCTCCGACCATATAAAATGTATATATTAATGTTCAGCATCAAAAGCCGAGTCGATGCCCGTCTTTTCGTTTCTACGCAAACTAGTCTCTCAGTTTAAAAGCTATCTCAATGAAATCTTGCAGTTAGTCTTTTATACATTTTCACTTGTATATAAGTCGGAACCGACGAAATCGGACGACTATAGCTGCCATAAAAAGAATCTGAAACTTTTTAAAAAACAATTCGAATAATTGTTTCAGTTTTCAAAAGATTTTCATATAATTTTATATAATAATCATTTTGTAGTATTCAAGAATTTCGGGTTTAATTTGATCAAAATCGTACTACTTAATCTTATAGCTGACATAGGAACGATCGAAATTAATAATACAAAAAATTATAAGTTCGATATTTCTCAATCTACGCAAATTATTTTCTACACAGAGATTTAGCTTTTTTAAATATTTCACAATTCCGGTTTTATTTTTTCGAAAATCGGACGACTATTTATATTTGACTAAATATTAAATATTATTATTAGTGATCTAATTGCAATCTGCAATTGTACAAACTTTGGAGTGCGTAAGTTAGCTTTCTACCAATTGCAATGTCAATGCATTGCAAATTCTTAGAAATTTATTAATTCTTAGATCGAAAAAAAAAAAACAACAATATTCCGAAAAGTAAAATTGTGTTTTATTAAAATATGAACAAATGTGGATATAGTATATAAAAACTATAGAAACGATAGTTTCAAATTTTTCCGCGATATTTTCACCTGGCCATCTATACTGTTCGGTACTCGGTCACACTGCGTCTTGAATTGTCATTTGTAAGTGCTGTACACTTTTCGGTAGTGAAAGCGAAAAACTGACAAATAGCACTTGAAGCTGATCGAGTCTAGCAAATAAATCATTTAAAAAAAAACCATAATGGCAGATTTGAACGACTCCAATGGAAACTACGACGACTGCGACGAGGTGAGTGTTGTGCGAGGAGGCATTTGTTGGTTTTCCCGGGGAGGGGCGGGCGACGCAAAATGTCGACGCCGACAATTTCGCACCGCAATTAGCATGCGGCGTTTTCTCTTACAAAAGAATAAGTGCGATTGCCGGGGTCTTCGATCTCGATCTTCGGGCTCCTCCGACGGCCAATGACACTGTTAAAGTTGAAGGCACTTTTTGGCCAGGCAAATTCAATTGATTCGAACGAACGAAACCGGCTGCAGGCCGATAATAAAAGAGAAAAAAAAGACGCATACACACACATACGCACAAGCTGTCATGGCGGTGCAAATAATAAAAAGAAAATGGCGGGCGGCGTTTTCATATGCGGTGTTTTCTCCTTTATCACATTCAATACAAATCTATTTTTAATAGTATTCCATTGATAATGACTCATTCTCATGATCCTCGATTTGGATCCATTCAACGTTTAATCAAATTTATCATTAGCAACGAATGCACATATTTTTAATTGCCAAAATATGTTTAATATATTTATTTCTAACCTGTAAATTGCATTATAATGTTTTCTGGCATAAAAAACATAAGTATCCAAATAAATCGTTTAGATCATGTTTTCTTTATATAGAAAATATATCTTTAATTTCATAATAAAAAAATCTCATATAATTAATGTTAAAACTTCTTCGATCCAAATTAGTTTAATCTTAAGACTTAATTCTTTTCACTTTTAATGTATACCTCAGATCACCGAGCCGGAGCAGCTACGCAAGCTGTTCATTGGCGGTCTCGATTACCGCACCACGGACGATGGCCTTAAGGCACACTTCGAGAAATGGGGAAACATTGTCGACGTGGTGGTGATGAAGGACCCCAAGACAAAACGCTCGCGCGGCTTCGGTTTCATTACGTACTCGCAGTCATACATGATCGACAATGCCCAGAATGCGCGCCCACACAAGATCGACGGACGCACCGTGGAGCCCAAACGGGCTGTGCCACGCCAAGAGATCGATGCCCCTAATGCCGGGGCTACCGTGAAGAAGCTTTTCGTTGGTGGACTGCGCGATGACCATGACGAGGAGTGCCTGCGCGAGTACTTCAAGGACTTTGGCCAGATCGTTAGCGTGAACATTGTCTCCGACAAGGACACAGGCAAGAAGCGTGGCTTCGCCTTCATCGAGTTCGACGACTACGATCCCGTGGATAAGATCATCCTGCAAAAGAACCACACCATTAAGAACAAGAACCTGGACGTGAAGAAGGCTATTGCCAAGCAGGACATGGACCGCCAGGGCGGCGGTGGTGGTGGTGGAGGGCTTGGTGGCGGTCGCGGCGCTCCTGGAGGTCGACCAGGTGGTGGTCGTGGCGGTGAACGCGGTCAGGGTGGTGGCGGCGGCGGCGGCTGGGGAGGCAACAACCGTCAGAACGGTGGCGGAAACTGGGGCGCCGGCGGCGGTGGCGGTGGATATGGCAACAACAGCAACTTTGGAAGCGGCGGTCAAGGTGGCGGCTCGGGTGGTTGGAACCAGGGCAGCAGCGGCGGTGGTGGTCCATGGAACAGCCAGGGAGGTGGTAACAGTGGCTGGAACAATGGAAGCAGTGGCGGCGGCTACGGTGGTGGCGGCAGCAACGGCAACTGGGGCGGAAACGGAGGAGGCGGTGGCGGCTTTGGTAACGACTACCAGCAGAGCTACGGCGGCGGACCACAGCGCAACAACTTTGGCAACAACCGACCAGCTCCGTATAGCCAAGGCGGCAGCGGTGGTGGCGGCTTTAACAAAGGTGGGTCCGTGGACTGAATGATGAGGAAATTAATTTTATTAACTATTTTAAATTAAAATTTATTATTGTAGGTAACCAGGGTGGTGGACAAGGCTTTGGCGGCAATAACTACAACACTGGAGGCGGCCAGGGTGGCATGGGCGGTGGCAATAGACGTTACTAGACAAGGTAAATATGAAGGAAGCGAAACTGCAGTCCATATCCTACCGTATGTTTTTTGTAAACGCTCGGATCTTTGGTCGTTATCGGCAGCTATATAGTTGGAAGCCATGCAATCAAACTGAATCGGAACGAATTGACGCTAATGTTAAATTTTCTCCTTTCTCGCAACTAGGTAAACACACGTAGAGAGAGAGGGAGTGTCAGTTCAAGCTAGACAAACAGGCAGTCTAGGCAGGCAGAGGCAGTGGCAGTGGCACACTCTCAGGCAGGAAATCAGCGAAAGGTGTGGTTGTCAGGCCAGGCAGACAATATCAGACCCAGTCCCAAGCGCAGTTCCCGTACCAGGCCCGAGTGCAAGTGCAAAACAATAACAAAAATCAGTTTTCAAGAACAACCCAAAAACCTGCTTGCCGAAAGCAATAATCAAGACAAACAAATAAGCAAGCAAAAAAGCGAACCGACTCCAATTGTCCACAGTTGGCTGCTGCTGTCTCTCTTTTGTAAACATTAATTCACAGATCAATTCTTGTTTAGGATACTAAGAACCCTGAACGCTTAGTTTTAACTATATTAACAAAACAAACGAAAAAAGAAAACCAACCAACCAATCAACAAAAATATAAACATTTATTTAATAACAATTTGACTACCATTAGAAGCAAGTTGAGCGACAAATTCTCAGCGAGAATCGGTTGTATCAGGGTGTAATAAGGTAGAGTAACTTGAACTTTATACATGTCGGGAGGGCGATGGCCCACAGCTAGATGTATTTTCTATTTGTTTTTCATTTTACACAAAGCTATACCCGACAAAGAATTCAAATAGAACCATATTTTGTAATTACCTTTTTGTACATTTAAGCACTTTTATATTATGATTTATTTATCGTAAACAAGAGAGCCAAAATTCCTGAGAAGCAAACGCGAACTGCAGAATTGTGTCCTAGCAAGCGAAAAACATATACACGAAACATACCAACTCTGTTAGTCCTTAAGAAGTAGATGCTACGCTAAGCCAGAATTGACTACAAAACAAAAACCACACCATGTTCTGTAATTAGTTCGTTGCGCGACAAACGAAGGCGATGAGATATAAACAAAATAAAATGATAACCAATGTTACCAACCCACCCAAAACAAATCACAGGAACAAACTAAACTAAAGACTCACTCCCAAAGAAAAGGAGTAGGAGCTGGAACAGGAGCAGAAGCAACAGCGGGGCGTACCTAGAGAACGGGAACCCAGAGGCTTCCGATGGTCGATCCACGCAGGGTAGCGAGCAGGGCTAGTTACCGACATTAGAGATCCCCGAATTTATAACCCAGGCAAACCGCGTACTAATGCACTGCCTATTTCTTTGCAAGACTGGCCTGGCCTGGCTGGGCTACGGACGGAAGCTCCCGGACCGGATTCGAATTGTGCTCTTCGCTCCGGTTCGTTTTCTAAAGACAAGAGCCTCCACCCAGAAAATATGTTCTAAGTTGTAGCCGGCTGTGCGGCGGAGGCTTGGACTATCTGTGGACTACTTGGGTTTCTGGCCGAACTTGATGACAATGATGACTTGGTTGGTAGCTGAAGGTAAGTGGCAGGTAAATGATATGTAATTCACTAACTGCTTTAATATTTCTGCATTTATTTCAATAAATAATATATTTATTAATTAAATCAAAACGTTTTTTACATTTGGGTCGGTCAGGATCTATGGTTTTTGATCTTCCTGTAGGTCTTCAAGCAGCAAGGACCCTTTCTTGGAAAATTAAGTTGAAGGTGTTAAAACCTGAATTATAATATGGAGATCACTTATTCTAACAACAAGCTCTTGGGAATTATTAAGCTCTTACTTTTGCAAATCCGATTACCAGGACAGGAGGACAGACGGCATCCTCTCGATCTGTCGAACAACACACATGATTTGTTGTTGTAATCTCGATATCACGTATCTCTTGTCGCAAGGAGCTGAAACTGGATATATAATTCGTTGGCAACACTGGGTATAATAGCCCCAATCTGGTAGCTTTTACTTACTAATCACTAAATCGCATTTGATGTTAATTCGTGCCGAAAGTGTTACCACTCAAGGTAATAGAGTTGTGTTTTTAATGACACTTAAGTGCTATATTAAATTGCCAAGTCATTTACCGATAGTCCCATATCCAATCTTTTGACGTATAAAAAATTTTCACTTAGCTATTGTCACTTAAACTACATCCTGCTTTCGTTTTCAAGTTATAGTTTCAACTGTGCGAAAATTCTTCTATTAATTGCAAAAAATGGAGGTTAACTGTATTTCGCCGGAGACCTGCGTTCAGCGAGAGGTGGGATCTTTTCAAAAATTATATGGTATTGGGGTCCTAAAAAATTTCGGGGTCTTTATTTTAACAGCTCAACGGGACTTCCTCTGCCGTGGAAAATGGAATAACCAATCCTGTGGTTACTGCTACTACTCTGTCGACCAATGAGACTACCAAGGAAGACAATAATCCTGAGCATTTGCGCAAGATTTTCGTGGGGGGTCTGTCCACCCAGACAAGTGCAGGGACTGTTCGTAGGTTCTTTGAGCAATTCGGAGCTGTTGCTGATGCGGTGGTGATGCGAGATCCAGTAACCAATCACTCGCGGGGCTTTGGATTTGTCACTTTTGTTGATCCACAGGCAGTGGAGAATGTTCAGAGGGCCAGGCCCCACTCCATTGATAATAAGTAAGTATATAAAAATTATTATATGTCATATCCACATACATTATATACTAATTTTTCATTCATTTCAATTATTTCTCACCCAGAAATGTTGAGACGAAACGTGCTCTGCCACGTCATGATTTCATCAAGGGGGGAACTGGCTTGGGCCGAGCTCCCAGTGCCAGTTGTGCCATAGGAATGGCCAATACCAAGACCAGCAAGATCTTCCTTGGCGGCCTGAAGGACTGTCATGATGAGAAATCCATTTGCGAGTACTTCTCCCAGTTTGGTAAAATCGCTCATGTGAAATTGCTGTTGGACAGGGAGACCGGACGCATGCGAGGATTCGGATTCCTGGAGTTTGAGAATCCAGAATGCGCTGAGCGCGCTTTGGGTAAGTTTACTAAGCTATCTGAACTACTGATTCCTTAATAAACTTTAAAATTAAATTCGATTTTCAGCCCAGTCAAAGCATTCCATCAATCTGCACACTGTGGAGGTGAAGAAATCCACCCAGAAACCGGATGCCGCCAATCGTGTCCGCTTCGCCGTGGGCGGTGCTGCCCGTGCTGGCTATATTCCACCGCAGCCGGCCACTCTCGATTGCTTTGGCTACAACAATAGCTACAATCCGTACCTGGCGCAGACTGTCCTACCGCCATCGGCCTATATCAATGGGTGGGCCGCCTATGTTGCGCCTGAGATGTCTCAGTTCGATCCGTATGTCACTTCCCCTCAGCGCCATCCATCTACACTGCGCCCCTCGTCGCAGCCGGTTTCTTTGCAAGGCTTGGCCTCATTCGGCCAAGACTCCTGGTTCGGTTATCCAAAGTCGGGTAAATTTCCTCCCCACTTGTGGACACCCGGCGAATGCCAGCCAAGGGCTGGGTTCAAAAATGCCCAGACCTCTACCGTTGATAGTACTACCACAAACGCAGCTCCAGATGCCAAAATTGAGCTCGGTGCCGGGGGCGATGGAAAAGAAGGATCGGCCGGAGGAGATGTGGCAGCACCAACTGTAGCAGAAATATCGATGGGAACTGAGGGCACCGAGAAGAAGTGGCCCACCGAGAACTATAAGATCTTTAAGCCAGCTCAATGCCCAGGCCAGCTTATGAATCCAAAAACTGAGAATGGGGGTTCCCCGCCGGCCTATGGTTTGTTGAGTGTCATTTCATAATACTTCTAATTTAACATTATCTGTCTTCTGTTACAGGCATCTAAGATGGATGGACTGACAATCCCTCGTAGAAATATATCCTTATCATACCATATACTTTATGTGAGACTTTCCACAATGAAGGAGGAATAAACCAGAAATGATTACACACACTTGTACTTTTGAGACTTAAAATCGTAAACTCTTGTTCTTTATTTATACTATTTCTGATGTTGTTTTTTTTTTTTTTTTTTTTTTAAGTATTGCATGAGTGAATTGAGTTTGCATAATTGTTTTATATCTGAAACGCTATAAAACGCACCACTGAATTCTTATTTCCGAGATTCCGGGTAATCGGAGGAGAGTGAGACCTCAACTCATACGACTGCCGTGTGATTTTATTAATTATTATGCTGCAAATTGCTTGGCTTTGTGCGCATTAATTTCATTTAAATGCTGAATGCTCAGTAGTTTATTTAACGCAAAGGCAATGGAAATGGGATACGGATTCAGTCGCAGGAATCTCTGATAATTAAAAATAAACGTGGCATTATTTCCCTTTCAGATATATATAAACATTATCTACGATATATTGGTGTTGTTTGAGAAGTAATCGTATTTACCAGTAATGAAAGGCAATGAGCAGAGTCAGATAACCAAGGATAATATACAAAGTAGGATACATGACGAAATTGTATTTGAGCTCTATTCCCCTTTTTTTCAAAACAATAATTTAAGAGAGCCTGATCTAAAGTCGTTCCGTATGGCATCTTATTCTTTATAATATCTTTGGTCAGATATGATTTGGGGTTAATAGGCAGGAAACAAGAAGTAAAACAAATCATAATTTTTTTTCCTGGTAAACACGCTGAATCTTTGTTGTTGTTTTATTATTATAATTATTTTGTAGTTGTATACATATAAATTAAATTATAATTAAGTTCCTCTTTACTCTTTACAAACTGCAGTAATGTGATTTTTTCTTCGGTTTAATTAGAAATGAGCATGATCTTTACTTGATTTATGTTTTTACTCTTACATTGATTTTGTTAGTACCTCTGACTTGTATAGTTTTTGATGCTGTTTTGTAGTTGGGTTGCTTGGTTGGTGTGTGTTGTGTGTGTGTGAGAAACACTTTTAGCACTGATCGTTGAGCTAAGATTTGAACACTAACATTTTCGTCTTACAAAAAATGTACTAAAATTGCTTTAGTCCATCGTCACAGTGCTAATAATGCCTCTGGCATGTGTGTGTACTAAAATAGTTGCATAAAGTAATTGATTTAGCAATTGATTCTCTAGAGCAGGCGCCGGTTCCAACAAAAACAAATGATATGTTCACAACGAATCAAAAGTCCTTAAGCTTTAACAAAACAGGGAATAACTTAGGCAAATGTGTGGGACGCCTGCCGTACAATTCAAGATATAATATTTCACACAATTTTCATTAAAGTTTTTTTTAGTTTTTCGCTTTCGCCTCTCGCTTTCATATTTTTTTGTTTGCTTTGTTGCTGCAGTTATATAAATATATATATATATATATGTATATTTAGATTTCTGGTAAGTCTAAAAGTTAACATTAAATTATATGAGTTTTTTGTTTTATTTTATTTATATATATATATATATGTATATATATATATTTGTATATATTTCTTGTTACATGTTTTGCTTGTTTTACCTTGAGAAAAATGTTAGTAGCTTGTGTTTCGTCCTCTCCCGTCTATTATAATAAGTTGCTTGTTTTGTGTTTTATAAGGTTCTCATCTTTTTTTTGGGCTTTTTCTTGATTTTATTTAAAAAATATGTACTAAATTTTAGTTCACAACTGCGTTGGAAACACCAAATCGTTAAAGTTGCTTGACTTAGTTTGGTTTACGACCTTGAACTCCTTACAAAGAACGAAAAAAAAGCGAAAAACTAAATTCCGTCGTCCGTCCCCGTCCCCTCATCGATTGCATCGACCACGCCCCCTTTGCGGCGCCGGCACCGCATTCGCCCTCACATATCATTCCTTTCCTTCTATTACATTGCATACTGTGTGTGTGTCTCCATTCGATCCGATTCCCTATATAGACTAGCTAGTTAAATGTGTTAAAGTTTCTGCAAATTATGATTTAAGTAGCAAAAGGTTTTACAGTTCACAGGCTCTAAAATGCGGCGGACGTCGGACGTTCCTCACTTTTCCCTTTTTCTGGCGAAATTGATTTCATTTTCAATGTTTTGTAAAGAGGTTTGTGTTTGTGTGTTTTTTGTTTATACTTGATCATTATATATTTTTTGTTATACCGCGCCTTACATTTTTCTCGTGTTACCATTATCTTTTCTTTTTTTGTTACTTTTTTAGATTTAATTTTTTTAAGTCTTTCTTTTGCTCTTTTTTATTGCATTTTACAAATGTTTTTCATTTTTTTGTTTTTTTTTCTGTTCTTTCTTTCGTTTGTTTACATTTTGTTTATATCTTTTAGCTAAGTTATTCAAGTTTTTATTTAAATCATTTCCTTTTTTGTTTTTTAGCTTAAGAATTTGTGTATATTCAATGAAAAAACAAAAAAACAAATGAAAAACTGTTGCAATTCCTTTTTCTTTCTTTTGGTGAACTTAAGTTACATTTTGGTTAAAAGTGAATTACCAAACGAGAGCTGAAATTAATGTTTACATTTACGCTAAGATGGGTGTGGTGTGTGTGTGTGTTTCTGTCTGATATCCGATGGATGTGTGTGAAATGTAAATGTTCCATTGAGACTTAAACTTAATACGTGCTATTTGCAGGGCGAAAGTGATTCAGTGCGTGGATGGTGTGTAAGGTGAGAGGAGAAGCAGTTGGAGGAAGCAAGCTGAAGCTACTTGTTTCACAACAGAGATTTGCACAGAATTACAGTATCTTTTGGCACGAACTGGCTGGAAAAAGAGTGGGCCTAACGAAATTAGACTAAGTAAAGACCCAAGACATTTACTTAAGCCTTTTTATGTTAATTGTTTTCTTTCTTGAAGGTCGTTGCCTCGAGTTTTTGCTGTTGTGATTACACGCTCAGGAACATTTAAAGGACAGTTGACATTTAGTTGCTCCAACTACTTTTTGTTTATGTGTGTGTCTTGTGCTTAATCGCATGAGATGTTTCTGAATGTAATTGATTGATTGCATTGAGGAAGAAGTCGATGTTCTTAACGTTGGGTTTGCTGATTTAGTTTTAGTTTTTTGTATTCATTTCTTCTTTGTTTGCTGCTGCCTCTGCCAATGTTATCGCCGATGTGGTGCTGTGCAGTGGATTTCCATCTTAGCGACGTCCGTAGTTACCACCGCCGGACTGTTGTCCGTTGCCGGCACCGCGCAGCGGTCCGTTGGACTGATTGTTGCCGCCACCGGTGCGGTTATCCTGACGCTGTCCAAATCCACCGCCTCCCAAGCGCGGGGCTCCGTTTCCGCCACCGCCGCCGCCCTGGCGTAGATTATTACCTCCAGCGTTGTTGCGCATGATACCGCCGCCGCTGCTGCCGTTGTTGTTGTTCATTGGACGCGACTGTGGTCCATTGTTGTTGCCCAAACGATTCATGTTGTTGTATTTGTTTTCGCCACCCATCGGCGGACGAGGAGCCATATCGCTGCGGATGCGCGGCTTCTTCTCCTCAACATTCAGCTTCTGACCATCGGGCGAGTTCTCCGGGAAATACAGGGGCTATTTATGGGATATGTCTCGTTAATAATAGTTCCAAGTTTATAAATATTCTACCCTTAAGACTATTCGATGTATTAATAGCCGTCATCGACAGATATTTATAAATAAATACTCACGCAATTGGCCAGGCACTTTTGCACTGCCTCAGGATCGTCGTAGGTAATGAAGCCGTAGTTCAACGGACTACGCATGCCCGGCGGCAGCTTGTTGCCAGCCTTGGAAAGAATTCGCAACTCCAAAACGTTGCCGAAACGCGAGAACAGATCACGCAAATCATCCTCGCTGGCATGGTGTGGTATATTTCCCAGGAAGAGCTGCTGGTTGTCACCGAACTGTTGAGCATTGCTCGGACGACGCTGCTCAAATTCTGTAAATGCAAGTTCAACCATAATTAATACATATTAATGAGATTAAGTTGCAATGAAACTCACCACCCTTGTTGTTCCGGATCGAATTGTTGCGTTGCGGCAGCGGACCGCCGTTGTCAAGCCGAGAGTTGCCATTGCTGTTGTTATAGGACGAGGCGGTGGTCGAGTAGCTCACCTGAGCGCCGTTGCCTCCGCCCGCTGAACTTGAAGACGAGTTGTTGTAGGTGTTGCTGCTGATAGTTTGCTGCTGCTGTTGCTGGAGTTGCTGCTGCTGCTGCAGAGCGGCATTAACGAATCCGCTGGGCGAGGAGGAAGTGGACTTGAACAGGTTCGCATAGGTCTTTGGCTCGTTCTGCTGTTGCTTGGCGGCCTCGTACTTCTCCTGCTGCTGCTGCTCATGAATGGTCTTGAAGTCATCAACCGGAGTCGGGGGCTTCTGCATCTGGCGCGGGGTACCTCGGCTTCTTCGGGCTCGGCCTGTGATTGCTGCTGCTGTTGCTGGATGGGTTGCTGCGGTGGCAGCTGTGGAGGTTGCTGCTGGATGAGTTGTGGTGCCACCAGGGGCGACTGCTGGAAGCCCGCACTTGGTACTGGTACAATGGGCAGTACCGGAGTACCGCTTGGCTGCACCAGAGGCGATACGCTGGGCGGGACCAGCACCTGCTGCTGCTGCTGCAGCTCCTCATGCGACACCGCTCCATTCTGGATGGGCTGTGGCGGTGGAACATTGAACTGCGCCGGCATAGGAACCGCCGCGGCCTGGGGTGCCGGAGGCAAAACAGCCACTGGACGTCCGGCAGCAGCTCCCGCTGGCAATGGGTAGAAGATCTGCTGCGGAGCAGCACCGCCTGCAGTTCCAGGAGCCACCTGCTGCTGCTGCTGCTGGGCCACCACCACCTGGGCCTGTGGCTGCGGTGGCACCTGCTGCTGCTGGGGCTGCTGGGTGACCACATCGCCAACCACTTGGACTGCCTGATCCACGGTGCCGGAATTACCGCCCACCACCTGAACGTCGTGCTCCTCATCGTTCTCCGAACGCGACTCACCATCCTGCTCGTCCTCGATGTACACATCTTGGTAGCGGAAGATGTCGTTGTGCACGTAGTACTTCTTCGGCGATTGGGCGGCCAGAACGAACGTCTGGGTGAAACGCCTCATGGGCTGACCATCGTTGGACAGCTCGCCGGTTACCTGCACAACCACACCGTTGCCAAGCGTGGCCTGGGCATCCACCTGGCTGATCTTCGCGTGGCAATCATTGAAGTTCAGCTGCTGGATGCGGTTATGGATCTCCCGCTGACCCACCACAAGCTTCGACTCTCCGTGGATGTACGAAGAGTTGTTGTTGTAGAAGCGATGCAAGTGGTTGGGTGCCTTGTTCAGCAGCGTGTAGTACTGGCGGACAAACTCACGTCCCACCGACTGCGGCGAAGGCTGCTGCGATTGGGTCGCATCCATGACCATTGCTGGCGATTGCTTCTTCTCTGGACTACGGATTCCTCAACGTAAAAACGCCGGTTCTCAGCAGATCTTAGATTCCGATTAAGTTGCTTGCCAGCTCCTTTTGGAATACCCCGACACGACGACGAATAGGTGTCAAGTTTTGTGGAACGGAGTGTCGGATTCGAAAGTCTGCAAGAGTACCAAAAATATACAGACACATATAAAGTATGTGTTAATAATTCAACAGGATTCGCTGGGATTATGGAATAAAAAAATTTTATCAAAAAAGAAAATCGGACAGAATGGAGATCGGGTGTCAACTTGATCCGATGAAGGCAAAGCCAACAGATACTCAGTTTTTATCCACACCGCCCACAGCTGCTTTAACGAAGTCGAGTGTCAAACTGGTGTCTGATTTCCCAGTTTTATTGTACAGCCTGCTTTTTTTGCACTTACTACCAATTAAATTTTTATTGCAATTTTAAGCTTTTTTTGTAATTTTAACAAAGTTATTTTTATCAATTGAATTTTTGATTCTCCATGAAGGATATAGAGTTTCACACGGCTACGTCGGACGAGGAGGAGGGTCACCCGGAAAGGAGCTCATTTTACTGCAGTGCATATAAAAAAAGACGCAGCGCGTTGCAGTTTGACCCACTTTTATCACCACACACACACATATGGAAAAGGGAAAATTTCGTGCAAACGCAAACAAGAACAAAGTGCAGCTGTCACCCAAAGTCACATTTGCCGTTGTTGTTTTTATTGAGGTTCTTCTTGTTGTTGCCTTTTCCCTCTTTAGCAGGACTTTTTACCTTGCACGTGCTTCTCTCGTTTATACCGACGATCCTAACACAAAGGATACCTATATGTGTGTGTGAGCTTTGAGAGTAAATGACCTCATACATACAAATGTAAAAAAAAGAAGCCGCGAGTCGGGGAGCATGAATTACTTTGAGGTTATGTTCGGGCTTCAAGGTTGAGCCGCCGCCGCTTTGGACACAAACGCATGTGTGTGGGATTTCATTGAACTCAAGCCTCGCCAACAAATTTGCAAATAAACAAATACGTTTCTACAAAAATTATTATGTGAATCGGCAAATTGTTTACATTTTTAGATTCATAATTTATTTTAGTCAAACATACGCCACCCACCCCACCCTGTGCTCAACAAATAATATTTGCCGATAAACCTAATAATGCACAAAGAGTTGCGGCCGCTAAGTACACACACACAAACACGGTTATGAACGCGCCACTCTCGCTCTCCCATTCTCTTTCTATTAGCGAACCGCGTGTGTAGGAAGAACAAAGAAGGCGATAAATGTGAAGAGCCGTATTTAAACAAATTTACAAAAACAAATTTCTTTCACATTTTTAGGTTATGCACAGGCGATAAAAAAGCCGCTAAAATGGAAAAAATTTAAGGAGCAAGCTAACGAGGAAAAAACACGCCCAGTATGCATTTTGTTTTTCCCCTTTTTTTGTGTTCCACCCCAATGGTAGAATATAGAAAATGCTAGTTTTTCTAGACCGCGCGCACATACACACGAGGTTACCGGCTCACCTTTGGTGATTTTCCTCCGATTTTCCGATGGATAATGCTTGTTGTTGTAATGCACGATGTGTATTGCTTATGGGTTGAAATTCGCCGAAAATTTGCACTTTTTGGGGCACACTTTATAAACTTCCGACGCTGAACTTTGGAGGGGCGGGATGGTGAATTTCAATTGGAGCGCTGAAATTACGAAGGGATTTTTAGTTTAAGAATTATTGACAACAATCATAAATTACAAAAACTTGCAATCTGCACACAAATCACACACACACATATATACACAACGAGCCTTCTTCTTCCTTCTTCTACACTACTTTGTTGCAATTTTTTTAACTAACTTGGCAATTCTCGTGCGTTTTGTTATTTTCCGATGTTTGGCGATCACAGTTGTTGATTAATTAAGTTACGATGCATTGGTTGTGGTTTTTGAGTAGAAAATAATCGCAAACGCAATGAAATTGGACAAGTGTTGAATTGAGAAGAGAACCGACGTTCGTTCCTCTTTTTGCTTTTTCCTCTTTGCCTCTGTTCGTTCCTCTTCTTGCTTTTTGCCTCTGCAGCGTTTTATTCTCGGTTTTGTTTCGCATGTAGTGGTGTGCGTTAGTGTGTGTTAATGATGGCGGCATTGCGGTGTGGTGTGTACACACTGTCTAGGGGTGTTTCTTCTATGTAGTATTTTTTTCGATATTTTTTGATTGATTTTTAATTTGTTTTTAATGTAATTTAAAGACAATTGAATAGATGTGAGCAAAACATAAATAAATCAATATTAACAAAAACTTTAAAAAATGGTAGTTGTATTTAAATTATTTGTATAATACATAGTTTTAATACTGTAGTTTGGATTCAACAAGTTCATTTTTAATTTTGTGTTATCTTCTTATAATGTGTAGCGTCTTTAAAGAGTAAACCTCAGAGCATAAATGAGTTCTGAGTACACAAACATTTGATAATTGAACGTTATGATGTTTTTTAAAGCATATTACTGACAAAATACAAATTTCATATTGGCAAGAAAGAACACTAGCTTCGGGAATCCAGTGTTTATATACCCTGCAGTTTGTAATGGAATTATAAGGTCTCATGGGAAATCGATCATAATAAGGCTTAAAATATTCGCATTTTTTGAATCGATATTTATTAATATTTTTATACGACCAGTTTTTCGGACTAAAATTATAATATCCCCTCCAAGGACTTAAAATATAAAGAATTTTATCTCGATAAGGTATGCGAGCGAAATTATATATAACAAATATGTATTTATTTTGCAGGACAAGATTAAGGGAAACTTGAAATACGATCCAATTTCATTTCTATTTACAATGTATGTCTACAAACAATACAAGCAAAACATGTCAGTAAGATATATATATCGGAAAAGCGCACCCTATAAAGTTAGTATTTTGGTTTTTCTATGTTGGGTGTGTACACACTTTAAAAACAGAGTTGCCAGACTAGAAAGAGGTTAGTCACTCTCCTATTTAGTCAACTGTTTACATGATTGAAAGTCTAAATATGAATTCTGTTGTGTTTCTTCAGACGGTTACAGCAAGAATTGGAAGTTATTCCAAAAGAGCAACCCCGCATCTATCGGTTCTTGAATTAGGTGGCAACACCACGCCCATATACACACGCTGTCATCTCTCTCTCTCGTGAACGCTCACGGTAGAATCAGTGTTGTCATCTTTTCAGGGCACAAAAAAGCTAACCCAACCGTGGAAAAAATGTAGAAATTTATGATATTAGCGCATAAAATAAAGCTGGAGTAGTAAAACGATCATTTTAATTATTAAATCCAAAAAATATAGTTCATCAAATCGCAGTTTACAGTTTTGAATTTTTGCATTTAACGATATTTTCTATGTTAGCTATTTGATATATTCATCAGATTTTCAAAAAATTTAAGTTCAAGTTATAATTTTTTTATTATTAATTTAGCGATCGTTCATATGAGAGTTATAAGATATAGAAGTCCGATTTTGATCAAATTACAAAGGAAATACTAGAATACCACAAATTGGCTATATCTAAAATTATATGAAAATCTGTTGAAAACTGAAGAATTTATTAGTTCTATTTCTAAAAAGTTTCCGATTCTTCCTATGGCAGCTATATGATACAGTCGTCCGATTTCGCTCGTTGCGACTTATTTATATGTGAATATGTATAAAAGACTAACTGCAAAATGTTATTAAGATAGCTTTTAAACTGAGAGACTACTTTGCGTAGAAACGGAAAGATGACTTTTGATGCTGATCATGAATATATACACTGTATATGGTCGGAGATGATTCCTTTATTCCATTGCAATCTTCTGACTAAAATTATAATACCCTGCAAAAGTAAATATAATCAAATATAGTACAGCTAACGATACCTAGGTATCGATATATCGGTATTACTCATATGTATCGATGTTACATCGTTGTTATACCCAGCTCTAGCTGTCACTACTCTAAGAAGTGTGAAAAAGTTGGCTTCGGCTCTTAATAGTGTACGAAAAAAGCAATCTGCTAGCTCCAAACTTGCACAAATAAAGTCGAAGTTCACACAGCATAATGGCCGAAAAACAGCAGGATACCGAGATGAACGGCGAGGACTTCACCAAGGACGTGACCGCCGACGGCCCGAGCTCGGAAAATGGAGACGGAGCCGCCGCCGGCTCCACTAATGGCAGCTCCGACCACCAATCTGGGCAGCGTGATGACGACAGGTAAGTGGTGTCGCGCTATCGCCAGAAAATTTGCTTTTTGCGGCGGGCAGTCGGTGATCATGTGCCCCTGCGTTTTTTTTTTTTTTCTCTATATATTGCCTTCTCTGTTACGTAAATGCGAAGCTAACGTCGTTGGTCGCTGGTGTTTAATGGGTTTTACGGGTGCTCGCGGGGGAAGTCGGAGAGTCTGACCCCCTTTGTGTGCTATCTCTCTCCCGCTGGCTAGCTGGTGTGTGTGTCGGTGCGACTGTACTTCAGCCGCTGCAGGCGGAATATTAATAGAATCTTCGGAAGAATTCACCAGTTTCCGCGTGTGCAGTGGAAAATTTCCACCGTTACCCGTTCCCCGCGGAAAAACCAGAGACTTGCTATTGCTTGTTAATTTGGAAGCACATTTTGCCCCATTTGTGAGGTTATGTTCGCTCCCCACGTTGCCCCACACACACACACACAAACATTGCCTTTCACTTGTGCAAAAAAAACGATAAAGAACAAAGTTATGTTTGTATTTGCCGGAGTATTCTTTTTATTCGCATTACTCTTTGGTTTGGCTATTCGTTGTTATTTTCTGGCCTTCCAGTTCTGTATCCAAAATGGCGGACGCATACGATTCGTTGTGTATGTGTGTATTTTGCAGTTTTCACTTATTCTCTTTGCGTGCCGGCTTCTCTCCCTCTAGCCGTCTCTTTTCCACACAAAGTGACGGCCGGCATCGTATTAGAGTTGTCGAGGCGCCAAAAAGAGAAATATTAGAGCTGGGAAAAACATAAACGTAAAATAAATATATTAATGTTCAGGGTTATAAGTATTAGTATTGTTTATAAACATTACTTTTGATTTTACAAAAGCAAAGTAAAGTAACAATCGAATTTAGCACAGTGGAGCCTAATTTAAACAATACTATAAGATATTTTAAAGTTGAGTATTTTGCCCAGCTCTACGGAGTTTCCAAATTGCGATAAATGGAAAATAAAAAGGAATGATGAGTCTTCGTTTGGAAAGTGTTGTTCTTTTGTCTTGCTTTTTGTTTACCTCCTCGTTTTGTTTTTAGGCGTTTAGCATACACATCATTTGCCCATCCTATTGATCATTTAATGTCTAAGTTTAATCTTAAGTCACACGAGAGCTGTACATAAAATCGATAATACGGAACCAACGGCGGAGCCCCCAAAGTGAAGGATGGAAACGAGAGAATCAAATTAAATCCAAAATCATAGCTTATCCTGTTGTGTTGTGAGCGAACTAACCTTGTTCCTCTCCGGCAGGTCTTGAGTATAGCTATTCTCAAGTCGGAATGGGATTGGAATGCAGATTCGGATTTGGAATCGGTTTCGGATTCCCGTCGCCGGCTAAACGGATCCGGGATTTGGACATGGAGGATCACTCAGCCACTCCAATCTCCAGTCTCCAAAACTCTCCGCTCCACCGAGATACTGATGCTGATGGTATTTATCTAACCAAAACTAAAACAATCAATCAGTCAGTCAGCCAATATATAGAACTATCGACACACAAAATTACCAACAAATTATCTCGATTTTAAATTGGATCCATGTAAACTGTATACGAGTATATATTGTATTGTATTATCTTAACGTATAACTTGTAAATTACCAACCAAAAACTAATTATATATATTATATATATATATATGAAACGTATCAAGTAATCGGAGACAGAGAGAGACCGAGTGAAGGAGACTCGCAGTTTTTTCCTTTGTTTTTGATCAAATCTCAGAATATATCATCCGATGAAAGAAACACAAAGAACGAATGTAACGTAATGAGTGCACAAACAAAATTGCAATCGTAATTCCGCCGCCGTGTGACGTCACTGTTCCAAAATTGCCCGGGAATCCGCAGAGAACGCAGAAATATCGCTTTCAAAACCCAAAATCAATGAGATTAACGTACATCAAAGTAAACTAAGTGATTATCAATATTTTTTTAAAACTCTTTTTATACAAATAAAGGACAGAAAATGAAAAAATAAGATGCCAAATGAAGCAAGTGAAACCAACTACAATAAAGCATAAAAAACGTTGCATTTTTCTCATCCTATCGAATAAAGACTAATTGTTAATTGTACAAACAAAAATTAAAGATAATAAGTATACCCAAAAAACCGAAAAACTAAATAATTCACTCTTTGCATATGTTTATATTACTATATATCTATATCTTTCGCTCGTTTTGTGTCTCTCGATCGATCGCTCGCTCGCTCCTCGAACTCTTTCGCTCATTTCCGAGTTTGCAAGTTTTTTGACACTATCCGAACAAATCTTTGATTGCAATACAGTAACTAAAGCAATTTTTCACTTCAAATTTGGTGAGTTTTTTTTATTCGTTTTGTATTTCTTGCTCTGTCATCAATTCTTTTGCAGCCAATACGAAAAACAGTAAGAGAAGAGAAATTTAAAGTAAATCCAGAAAGTATTCTATTTGCTACGCGCATTAAACACAACCTATTTTCGTACCCGACTCCCAATTTACCCCAAGTTCCCCCTTTGTAGTTTTTGAAATTATCTATTTACACTTGAAAACTAACCAATTAATCTTTGACCTTTCGCAGAAAACTGTTTGTGGGCGGCCTCAGCTGGGAAACCACTGAGAGTAAGTATAATTTATAAATATTTATATACAATATCTCCAAATAATTACTCCTTGAATTATACTCACACTATTATGGCTTTGTTTTGCAGAGGAACTCCGTGATCACTTTGGCAAGTACGGTGAGATTGAGAGCATCAATGTCAAGACAGACCCTCAGACCGGACGCTCGCGAGGATTCGCCTTCATTGTGTTTACAAACACTGAGGCCATCGACAAGGTCAGTGCCGCCGATGAGCACATTATCAACAGCAAGAAGGTTGATCCCAAGAAGGCCAAGGCACGTCATGGCAAGATCTTTGTCGGCGGTTTGACCACAGAGATCTCCGATGATGAAATTAAGACCTACTTTGGACAGTTTGGAAACGTTAGTATCCCTTAAAAATAGAATATGAAATGTTTTATTTATTAAATATGTTATTTTGATCATTTAAAGATTGTCGAGGTTGAGATGCCATTCGACAAGCAAAAGTCGCAGCGTAAGGGTTTCTGCTTCATCACCTTCGACTCGGAGCAGGTGGTCACAGACCTGCTGAAGACGCCCAAGCAGAAGATTGCCGGCAAGGAGGTCGATGTTAAGCGGGCAACGCCCAAGCCGGAGAACCAGATGATGGGTGGTATGCGTGGCGGACCACGCGGTGGTATGCGTGGCGGTCGTGGTGGCTACGGAGGACGTGGCGGTTAGTATTGGAAAAAAGTTTTAACCCAAAAACCAAATTCTAACTCATATGTCGTCCTTACAACAGGCTACAACAACCAGTGGGATGGCCAGGGATCCTACTCGGGCTATGGCGGCTACGGTGGATACGGCGCTGGCGGCTATGGCGACTACTATACCGGCGGCTACTATAATGGATATGACTACGGTTATGGTAAATACAACAAACCACATAATAATGCTCAAAACAATTATTACAATAACAACACGTCGAGTAATTACCATCCAAACAAGAACAATAGCAACAACTATCAGCAGTTCTAAGTAGTCTAGCCGCAAAAAATAGAAACAAACAAAAAAGTCGGCCAGCAAAAGAAAACAAACAAAGCAACAACAACACCTGCTAAACACCATATTATTAAACTTTTGCCATAGACCTGATCTGATTTCCATGTTGTTGTGTTTCCCCATTCAAACAAAACTGAGAGAAAAACAAAAACAAAAAGATATAACACGTTGTTTGCTGCATTTCAATATGACTAAATGATATATATCCAGGTGTATATACGTGTACATTTTATGTATAATGTATGCTTATATCCACATGTGTATATCTCATGCAGATATCAAAGAACAACAACATCAACAACAACAATTACAAAAGCAACGTCGCTAAAAACAAGAAAACTTTTAAATATTGTAGAAAAAAAAGAAAAAAGAAAGTGCTAACATATATATATAAATTTTAAACATTCATTTTATATTGAACAAAAATGTGTATGTTGACAGACAATTTTCTTCATTTAATATATATAAAAACAAGCAAGCAAATTTGGTAATTTTTATATACACATTTATATCTATATCTATATATATTATAACTACGTATAATTTTAAAGCTATATACTTGATGTTTAAAATTTTAAAGCGTACTTTTTAAACGAAAATTCATTTAAACAAAAACATTTAATTACCAATTATTAGTTCGAGTAGCATTTAAACATAAAACTGACGAAGCGTGTGTATAAAAGATTGTGTTGTTTAAAGAGTGAGAGATGAGAGAAGAAAAGTAGACGTGACGTTCAAGTTGAGGCATATATACGCCGATCTATTCTGGATATATATGCGACCACTAGACCACCAGACCAGACCAACAAACAACAACTAGAATCACTACAGCAGCGATGTTGTCGCGAGGTCGCCTTCAACAGACTTTCCAAAGATGACAAATACCTCAAACGCAAAGGGCAGCAAACAAACAAACAAACAAAAACAACAACAAACAAAACAAAACAAGACATAACAACAGACAAAAACAAACAAACACACGAGGAGCATGTGCCAATTATGTGAAACTGTGTGAAATGCCAGCGTTTTTGGCCTTTTGCGCAATTGCAACTTGTGCCTTTTTTTAATTGTTAACTAACTGTTATTGTTTGAACCAACTGAAACCAAAATCTGTTGAAACACACACACACACACCACCACCACCTACCCCCTCCAACACACACACACACCCCAGCACCCGAACCCCCACACACCCACTCCTTTAAAATAGTTATTTAAATAGTTTCTCCTTTTGTTTTGTTAAACAAAACACTAAACAACAACCCAAAACAGAAACGACAACAAACAAACAAAAACAAAATAAAACAAAACGAAACGAAACGCGTAATCAAAGCTTTTGATTCAATGTCTATTTAAATATATATATACCTTATATATAGCATATAAATATATTTTTAGAAATATATTATTATTCCGGCAACGGGATAATATTCACGTTCTTGCAATGCATATGTTTTCGTATGCACCATACGTCAATATACCTACCATATATATTTATATCAAATATATACAAATGTTATATATTTATACATTAAAAAAAAAACGTAACATTTAACTATGGTACTATTTTTGATAGTATTATTTTAAGGCAAATCCTTGTAAAAAACAACTACAAACAAAACGAAAAGAGTACAACAACCACCACAAGCTCTTAAGATCTACGGGCCGGGGCCCAAGAGTCCTCGTAGTCAGTCATTGCAGCAAATAACCGGAATATATTCCGGCTGCAGCACCCCCGGCCCAATTCGTGAGATCATTCTTTTATTTGCTTTATTTGCATTTCTGCTGCACTTTCTTGACAAACAAACAAACTAACGAAACGAAACAAAATATTTTGCGTGAGAGACCTTTAAAGTAACGTAATGTCAAGGAAACAATCCATTTCGAGACTTGTTTTAGTTGCACCGCAAGCGCATTGCGGCATTCTACACGTTCATACGTTGATTCCCAGGTTAAAGAAAACAACAACAAACTTAACTTACTGAGCAACAACGACAGCAAATAGTAACAACAACCAGTAGCAAGCAACATCAAGAACAACATCTTAATTGTAGCAACAAAAAAAATGAAACTTTTCCAACAATCAAAAGCTAAACAAAAAAACACACTTCGTCAATTTTAGTAATTTTAATTCAAGCATATATACACATACTTATATAATTTTTTTCCCCTTATGGTTTTTAAATGTTAAGTCAATTAACACTAACAAGCAAATCACACATACACTAGCATTGCTGCTATTTGCAAATGTATAATATAATATGCCTTGTATAACTCGTACATATATTTGAATTTGAAATCGAGCAGAAAGAGTTTAAAAACTGAAATTGATCTTTTTGCTAAACCAAAATCATTTCAAATGTTGTCAATGTGCGTCGACAATTTGACTGTATACCAATTATATATACATTTGTACAATTATACACATTTTTTTATATATCCATTTTTTTTACAAAATAATACTGCATGTTTCTCAATGTTTTTAGCAAGTTGTCTGTATACAAAACAAAACTAAAAAAAAAGTGTAAACGAAATAAGAAATTATAATGACATTGATCCCTTTAAACATTGTGCAAGATAGAAAAGTTTTTATACATTTTATGCTATATATTTTTTAAATTAATTATACCAATTATTATATGATGTTTAAATGTGTAAACAATTTTTTTGAGATATATAAAACCAAAATTGTTGTATACCTCTTACATATACTTACCATACCAATTATATATAGCAATAATTTTGTGCCCCAGCCCCCACTTTATATTAAAACCTTAACACAATATATATTATATATTCTTAATTTCTTTATAATTTTCATTTCCGTTACTCTATCAACTTGAAAATTCTAAAACTAACCAACACTGGAAAAGCGAGAGGAACAGAAGCTCAAACACCAACTAGCATCTTTTGATGAAATGAAAAAGAAAATTAAGAAGATATTTTATAATTAACTGAGCTGGTGTTTTGGCTTTAATTTCCTCACGCTTTCCCACTTAAGTATGTAATGTTACTTTCGTAATTATGATTTTTGAACATATTTATATACGATTATATGATTGTAATACCGAATTTTCCGATGTTTCGCCTCACAAAAACGAAAAAAGCAAACTAAACTAAATGAAAAAACCCCAATGAGAATTCAACTCGATAAAAATACAAGAAAAAAAAACAAAATAATTCAGCCACCACAAAACCACCCAAAAGCGAATATCCATAAAACGATCGCAGGCCGCGCGTTTGTCTTGTCCAAGTTAACCGATAACCAGCGGTGTGTCCGAGGCTCGTAGAACCGACATCCAAGCCAAGCAAAGCAACCAAGCGACCGACCAAGCAATCAGTCAAGTTATCGAAACTTCGAGTTATCGAGTTAATCGAGCATAAATCGAGCAATCCTCCGCCATGCAAAACCCGCACCAACAGTGTTAACTTTTCACTTTAACTGTAACTGTAACGTTTTTCATTTTTTACTTAAATCTTCCTTTTTCTACTACATTTAAAACGTATATATTTACAAGTAACTTAGCGTAATTAATATTTGTTTTTAGTAAAATGCATTGAAAAACTACAAAAACAAAAACAAAAAAAAGATAAGATATGAAACCACTAAAGTAATATTATAATGAATTATATTAATATTGTCAAAACAATTTCTGAGACAATTCTTAAGCTACAAAACCAGTTTTCTTGTTTTTAACAACAGCTACAACAACAAAAAGATAAAAAAAAAACAAACAACAGAGTAATTATTATAATCAATTATATTAACTCGAGTATAAAGTAAAATATTGTTGACTATTTGCATTTGTTTTTGTTTTTCGCAAAACGTTTTCTATTGACACACAAGAATATTCGCGACAGACTCCGCATCGTCCTTCCTCCTCCCTTACCCCACCCCGCAGACCCTTGCAATCCCCATTAAAGGAAAAAAACAAAACAAAAAAATATTAATTAAAAATAATGAGAGAGTAAAGAAAAATTGCAAAATTTGCAAAACTTTTTTGCTGAGGTGAGACATTCAAAATACACACACACAAGAGCAGCAAATGAATTCACAAATTTTTCTTTTTGGCAAAAATTGCTTTCCGAAATTTAACGAAACAAATATAAAAAAAAACACATTTAATTAAATATAAAAAAACTATAATTTGAAATTGAAATGCTGAAATTGTTGTGTGGAAGAAAATGAGGTAAAAATTTTAAAAAACATAAATGCATAAAGAAGAGTGCTGTAAAATGAGAGAAATCGGATGAAAAATGAATTGGGAAAATAATCCATTGCAATACATTGTGAAACATGTTAATAAGTCGAGTCGAGACAACTAACAACAAAAATCTGAGACAACAGCAACAACAATAAGAGTTATATATTGTTTATAACAAAAGACAACAACAACAACAAATCGAACCGCATGTATGTGTGAGCGCCGCCTTGCGCCTGTTTCCTCTCCAGGAGAGAGAAAGAGCGAGAGTAAATTGTTTTTTAAATTTTTATTGTGTACCAGCAACCAACAACAACAATAACAAAAACAACCAAATTGTTAAGCAACAACTTATTGTACTTTTGAGCTACAGCAATAACGGATAAACATTTTAACCATCAATCTTATAATCAAAATAAAAAATCCACAAAAAACGAGAAATGAGCAAATAAAAGAAAAAACGAAAAACAAAACCGACAACAATTTTGTGTGTATTTCAGTTGCCGCACCCCACCACCACGAACATCCCATTTCCCCCTTAAACTGCTCCGGATCCGGAGCACCAACCAATTCCTTTCCAGCTATCTCTTGGTATGTGATATTTGAATTGTCTCCCCTCGGCGCGGCGTCGTCGTCGACCAAGTAAAGCAGCAAAAATTTTGACCAAACCTAATGATATGTAGAAAACCCATCAACCAACAAACCAACCAACCGAAACCCTGATCCAAGTTTAGAAACCACCGTCAACACAGAGTCACAAATGTTGCCAACTATTAACTATACAAATTATGAAGAGTAAATTTAATACAGACTAAAATTATTAGGTATAATAGGTATAATTTGATATGCTATGATTCAGTGAAGATTATGTCCTAAACGTTGTGTTTCTATCTCTTAAATAAAACTACTTTTCATATATTTTAATTGTAGATACCACAATTTCTCAATACAACTTTTAAAGTATATATGTTTAAGTTAATAATCAAAATTGCCTATTAATATTTTTACCTTATATATCGTTCTTGTTAGACCACAAAGAAACTTGTATAAATATGGTTTATTTTATATTGATATTTAATATATATTTTGTATATTAAATTCAAATTATTGTATATTGATAAATTAATGATTTAATAATGAATTCAATTCTATGATTTTAGGTTCTTTTAACAAAGTCATTAATAAGTGTCTTCAATAATTAATAATTTCATGCAAAATGAGCTCATAATCAAACCTATGATTAAAAGAAATTAAATTTAAAATAGTTTATAACTTATGACCAATCAGCAAAAGAGAATTCTTGTCTTAAAACACAACAATAAGTCTTTTTTAGCCACTTGCTTGGCAAATTAATTATTATTTAATTTATAAACATTCAAAAGTTTTTAAAGAGTTGAAATTGTTAGAGAAACATTTGTTTAGTTAGTTGGCAACACATGGCACTCCATCCCTTTTTTGTTCGAGTCCTTTTTACACCATTTTATAAGCTAAGCTTTGTTTGTGTTCTCATCAATCTTCTATTCGACAAAAACAAAAAATATCCACCAAATCAACGACACGTTTTGTGCGATTTAACCACGAAAACAAAACCACGCCATCCATCCAATCGCAATCTAAAGACGGCTACGGATACGGCGGCGGCTTTGAGGGTAACGGCTACGGCGGCGGCGGTGGTGGCGGTGGCAATATGGGCGGTGGTCGCGGTGGCGGCGGACCCCGCGGCGGTGGCGGCCCCAAAGGTATTAACACTAAAAAGAGCCCAGCAACTATCTACCAGCGAATCCGTTGGGCCTTCATCCTCTATCCATGTATCTGTTACATATAGTCTCTATTCGCCAATAATTAGTTTTCTTACTTTTTTTTTGTTGAGCAAAATTAGATTTCAGTTGTTTAGTTCCATCGTTTTCGGTTGTTTACCTTCATTGACCTCTTTCCGAACCTTACGTTTAGTTTATTTTGCTTTACCCTAGAGTTGGTCAAAATTTTCCCACAAAAATATAAAACGAATAAGTTTGGCGTAGTTACCGAAATCTTTAGATAGTCCCCTCCTACTACCTTTCCCGCTGATGTTGAGCATGTCTTCCTCTGCGTTTTAATATAAATATTGAAAATTACACATTGATTAACTATTTTGTATTGAATGCTTTTTGAAACAGGTGGCGGCGGTAACTTCAATGGTGGAAAGCAACGCGGCGGCGGCGGTGGACGCCAGCAGCGACATCAGCCCTATTAAATGGGCGGGGACGTGGGCAATGGGTATATCGCATTCTACAGATAACTGCAAACTATTTGAATTTTACCTAGTTTAGTTTGTTATGGTGAGTGAAAGAGAGTTTACTTTGTTTAAACAATTTAAAATCATATATAATTTCTATATTTACAGCATAACTACAAATACAACACACACATCCATTTGAGTAACCGCATATATACAGGCTTGTATATATCACTAAAAGAAATATGGAAAAGAGGGACTCATTGCATTGAATAGACTGGCTGGCTGGGAGCAACATTATCATCAGCAGCTACCTTTACAACACCTCTACACACACTTGTTGTGTAGCACCATTCCAACAACAGCAATATGAACATCAGCAAAGGGAGCAACAAGGAACAGCAAGAGTAGCAGTAGTAAAGCATCATATATACACTCACACACACATACGTATAGTTAGGCCTAGAGAGATATAATTTTTCAGCAAGTGGCTAATTTTTCATAGCCACACGCTCATTAAGCAGGCTGGAAGCAACCACACAAAGCAAGCAAGCAGCCAACCATCCAACCAACCAACCAACCAACCAACCAACCAAACAACCAACCGCCCACCAACAACCCTTCAACCCTTGGGAAACCCACAAGACAACCTTGCAGAGGAAACATAGCACACAACATTTACCAAACTAAATAATGCCATGCCCCGCTCACGTTGTCTGTGTGTCGAAACTAATTTGTTTTTCTAATGTAGTCCCATACATTATGCGAGGTAATTGTTTAACGTGTCAGCAGGACAGGGAAACGGAAACGAAAGCATACTTACAAACAAACAAAAAAAAAAACGCATACAGCTAAAATGTTTCATACATTATACAATACAATAGAGTATAAGTATTTGTTTAACTTTAATTATGAATTAACTGTAATATGTAATAATAATTATAAACCAAGAAACAAAAACAAAGCAAGCGTTGACTGGCTGGAACATCGAGTTGCATTGTTCCCGTTTGATTGAAAGAAAAAATAAGAAAACTATATACGACAACCAGAATACAACCTACAAGAAACAAACAAATCCACCATTTATAATAATATAACTGAGCAGATGAAAGCGAAAACGCCAGATTAGTTTTTGTTTTCGGGTATGTATTCACGCTCATAGACTACATATATACATACATACATAATGCATATATCTATATTTATATACACACTTCGAAAGGGAAGAGATTTATATTTTAATAAAAGTCTAAAGCCACACAAGAACATTATCTACTTACCCTTACTATATTGTATAGACCACAGCAAGATTGCGAATTGTTAAATCAAATCTATGTATACATTACTATAGCTATATATGAAAAAAAAACAGAAATCTATATACGAAATCGTCCGACAAAAGCAGATAAAAGATGCCGATTGTGTGTGCTGAATAATGGGAAGGTTTAGGTAGCATTTCAAAAAGAGATCGATGCGTGTGTAAGTGTAGTTTCTCCCCCCTTAAAAAATAAACAAAATGAAAGAAAAAAACATTCTCAAGCGAAAATACAACCTAACTTTACTGAACGATAAGAGATCAGACAGTTTTAAAAGCGAATTACATTAAAGAAACTCTCAAGTATATACATTTTGTATTTTTATTATTTAAACGATCGAACATTTATATGGATAATGGAACAAACTGAGAATTTGGAGAGCGGGGCATATACATTATACATTATCGAATTAATAGTTACGCTTCATCTGGCCTGTGGCGAACAGCACATCCAGGATCTTGAGGAATTCGCGGTAATTGAACTCCATGCACAAACCCTTCTTCACACCGAAGCACTTGCAGATGGCATCGAACTCTCGGCTGCTTAGCATTTCATGCATATTCCGCACTGTGATGCCGCGAAGGAACTGGTTCTGCGTGATCGATCCGCACTGTTCGCGGTCAAAGTCCTTGAATACCTGACTCAGATTGGAGATCTCGTCGGGCTTTCGTGCCAGCTTCATCAATGCCTGAGAGCAGATGGTACGCTCATCGAAGCTCAGGAAGCAGTCCACGCAATCCAAGTTGGGTAGATGGAGCAGTGGCACAGCAGTCAATACCGCATCGCCCATACTCGTGTCCAGTTGGATGAAGACTTCATCCAGGGCCTTGCAGAAGTCGCGGTAACGGATGCAGGCACTGCGACGGGGGGAACGGAAGCTAAGGGATAACACATATAAATTAATATTTTGGAAAAAGTATACAGTAATTTTAAAATTACTAACATGTTGCATATGATATTGGCCTCTTCCTCTGTGATGATCACACTGGAATTGTCCAGGGCTCGCTTAAAGTCCGATTCAATAATTTCACCTTCACGATGGCGATCGTAGTCGGTCATAAATTCTATGACAGCCACGCCCTTGACAAGAGCTTGGCGCTTGCAACTGGTCAGGATACGCACAATGACCTCTTCGCTGGGATCCTCGGGATCTACATTGTCGCGGGCGAAGGGCGGGCATTCCACCAGTTCCTGCTTGGTGACCATGGCGGGCATTGCATACTCCGCGGGATCCACATCGTCCAGGAATTTGGTGTAACAGAAGCCCAACTCATTACCATAACGACTTAGGACTGCGTTTAGCTCCGGATCCGTCAGCAGAATGCCATTGGTGCGGAAGATCTGGTTGGCAATGTTGCAGCGAACATGGCCGCTGTTCAGCCTGAAAGGGAATTGAAGTTTTTGAAGGAGTCAGGATATGAAATTGGACTTCACTCACTTGTCATAGCTACGGAAGAACGGATGCAGATACAGCCTGCGATTGCGGATGCGTATACGTATCTTGGCCATGGCATCCTCGCACAAATCACGGATATTCGTTGGGACTGTCTGCCAGTCGACGGCACCAGGCCTTGGCAGCTCCTGGATGTGACGCAGTGGTGACTCCACGACGCACTGCGGCATTTTATCCAGATTCTTGATGGTGAACACTGGAATGGAAAGATATTAATATAAATTAAACTAAGTATTGACTGCACACTCTACCTGTATCAATTTCATCCACAAAGTTGCGCCAGCGCACTCGATTGATATCCACAGGATCAATGTAGCGGTCTAGAAGGATACCCAATTCCCGTTGACTTAGGTACTTGCCCACACCCATATTGGAAAGTCCTCGCTCGAACTGATTCTTGGTGATGCTACCCAAGTTCAGGGTATCGAAACTCGCCAGGAACTCGCAGGTGCGAACTTGGTTCTTGTAGACATAGTTTTGGATGCAAAAGACTATATCACATTGGTTGCGATTCTTTTTGGGATGATTGCAGGCATCGGGGAAGATCGGTTGCACAAGCTGACAGCCATTAATTGGCGGTAGCTGCGATAGTTCCAAATCCACCAAACGTCCCGGGAAGTCCTTAATAATGTCCTGTTCAAAAAAATTGATTAATAATTGATTTCCTCTTGTAATTCTACTTACATGTGAATTATCCAGAAGATGATTATCACCCAGATAAGCCATGATGTTGTCAATGTGCTTGAGAAAGGCCACATAGTTGACCAAGTAACCATCCTTCATGTAACGCCTCAGGAGCAACAGGAAATCCTGCTCGGACAGGGGTATCTTCATAAAGTGCAGCACCCGGGAGAAGTGAGCCACAGTGACTACACCCACATTTTGGGCAATCTACAAGGATTTAAGGAATATAAATTAGCATCATTACCTTCTAAAAATCGAACCTTGTACTCACCAGTTCGTAGTCTTGAAAATAAGGCATTAAAGGTATATGCGTTGCCTGGGCGATCTTCATCAGGATCAGGCAAAGACGCCTTCGATCCTCCGGATGTGGAATAACATTCACATGCCAGGGATCATTCCACTCCAGCCCAGTGGCCAGATCCGTTTTGGCCGGCTTATGTAGGGCTAAAATAAAATATATTTTACCCAAGATGATGCAAGTTTCGTTTATAATAACTCACTTTCGCTACAGACCACCTTGCAAAACTGACGATATGCCACCCGTCCATCTCGAATCTGAAAGTAATCGGTGACATCCCGGAGCTCAGTCTCTGACATGCCGGCCACCTTGCGATACTTTCCCAGCACGGCCGTGAAAATGGGTTCTGAAGAAGTTTGGAAGGGTCATAAAAGGGTCATAAAAAAGGGAAATGTGCCTGTGCTCACCGGACACAAACCCAGTGCAGCATGGATCATGTTGCTTTATATCGGCACAGATGTCCAAGTTATAACGAAAAATGGCACCCTGAATTTTACGACATCCTCGCCAGATTTGGTTTAGCTCCATCTCCTCCTAAACAAGGCATTCAAATTAGCTTGACCACGTTTAATGGCCGGCCGACATTTGATTTGCAACCAATTCGAACTCACCCTGTCATCGCCCTCCTTAATCTTGGTCGAATGCATCTTGGCTGTGACAAAATTGTTAACTTTTTTCAGTGATTTTTCTTGAGCAGCAGTAAATGCTGTGTAAGTCCTTACGAAAAAAATGCCCTACAAGTGTCTCTGTGTGTGTGCGTGTAGGTTGGTAGGTAACCCGGTAAAACAATGAAATCAAAGGCAACTCAGCCAACTCAGCTCCCCCATTACAAATTGGATTTCTCGGCAGCGTCGTGTTTGCTTTGTTCCTGCTCCCGGGATCCGATCCGGACTCACGCAAGGAAGCCGTGTAGGGTCCTGTACACTAATCACTTCCTTCGCTGGCAGAAGGTGGAGGAGCTGGAGCAGGCAGGAACCGCTAGCCAGGACCTATGCTCACCTTTCTACAAATCGCCTCCAATCACGCGCTCATTCGTCGACCAGTTTGTCGCAATGCCACCAACACTCTTATTCAATTTTCTATAAATGAATAGAGCAAAAGGAAAACACCGTGGGAAAACAAAAAAAAGAGGGGATGGTACGGTTAGGGGGGCGGGATAGGGGTGAAAAATATCAGAGTGATTGGAAAAAAACATATCCTGGCATCATCAAATGCAATTTCACTTTATTGGAAAATCGCTGGCCAGCCAACCAAGCAAACCGCATCCAAAGCCATCCAATAGTAAGAGTTCACTGAGAAAAATTAATGTTTTACAATTTTAATTATTTATTTTAGTAAAGTAAGTAAAGCAGGGATGCTGGAATACTTACTAGGATTTTTTAAAACCTTTTAAAAGTTGTATAAATTTCAAATCAATATGAAATTTGGTAGATTGGTAATGATTAAAAAAATCATACTCTAGTTAAATTTTAAATTTGTAAACATTTATTTCCCTCAGTGCATTAGCAGCAAAAGGCAACCTTGTGCGGAGGTGGAACTGTTATGGTTGTGGCAAAACTACATAGTGGGTCCATGACCCTTTCCACCTTCTAACGCCCCGTTCGAGTCAAGGTTGATTGGCGACGACAGGTGCCCGTGGTACACCTGCCCACTTCAAGCTGGCCACTCTGGGCCACTCCGGGCCACTTCTGGCCACGCGACTAAAAATAAGCTAAAGGGCGGTCCACATTGGCATTTCTAGTGTTTGCTTAGATGCCCTTTTCGCTCCCAGAGTCACGAATGTCCCCACACACACTTATATGCAGACTTGATGCAGGTAAAGTCACGATAAATCTACCAATATTGTTTGCAGCAATGTTAATGCAATATATTATTATATTTGACAAAGGTTAACAAGCTACAAGTGTTAATTGCATATGTAGGGTAAACAATTCACAAAGGGTAAAGGAATTAATATGTAAAAGGTTAGTTTATGGAATGAATTAAATTATCTGGAGAGAACTAGAAATCCTTAAGGATGTCTAAGGATGTACCTTGGCAAAGTACAATTTTGTAGCTTATTTTTAAGTACTTTTTAAGGACTTGTGAGTTACAGCTTTTCCCAATGAAAATACGATTTATATCCCTAATAAAGTTATAAAATAAATAACAATTAACTCAAGTACCTGATGATATTCGTGACTACGTAATGGTATTAATTGTATACAGCAAAATGTGTAATCAAAACCCCCGCTTTATGTAAATTTTAAACTAAAATGGATGATTTAAAATGACCCGGTTTTGGCATTAAAACTTTAACATCCACTGTAAATCACTGTCTTTAATTGAATTTTGTAATATGCGTGCGCCGGCAAATTGGGTTGGAGAATCGTAATACCCGGAAACGGTTAGTTGCTGGGTCATAAAAATGAATTGCAATCATTATCGTTGCTTAGATGAGGTCTGCAGCCAGCCAATTCCCTGAGCTGGCCCTGGGAACGTGGGGGAGCCCGAAACCTGGATAACCAGCTTGCCTGGCTGTGCCACCTTTTGAAGCGTGCTTTATTGCAATTTTTATTGCACATTTTTGATTTACCCGGCTCTAGCCAGGCATCATCCACCAGGCTTTGAGCTGGCTGAGTAATTCAGGATTGCCGTTTCTCCTGGGTAAATGTGCGTGCGATGTGCCTGGACATCGATTTGCTGGTGTTTTGTTCTCATTGCCCAGTCGTTTTGATTTGATGCGGTGTTAAATTATAATTACAGGTCTGAGTTCCTTGAATGGGGTCGTCATCGTCATCGTTGGCTTTTACTTGGATGTGGGTTCACAGGGGTCGTGCAGCTTATCGCGCACAAACATATGGCATTTTGTCAGTTTTGCTTTTGTTTGTTTCTTTTTTTTCGCACTATAAAGGAAGCATAAGGGATATGGGTACACTTGTGGAAAATTGAAAAATATTGTACAATATCTTCCATTAGATTTCATCCTCATAAAGCTTGATTTATTTAAATACATTTAATCATTTCTTAATAGTATTGGAAGCCTAGGGATATGGGTACACTTGTGGAAAATTGAAATAAATATTGTACAATTTTAATAGGATTTAATTTTCCCCATTGGACTTCATCCTGGTAAAGTTTGATCTATTTAAATAAAGTTAATCATTTATCAAAATTAAGGTTAGAGTCTTAATTCAAGTTTAGTTCTTGATGGAGAAACTGTAGAACTTGCCTTGAAATTTCTATTTAATTTGAATACTTTGGATTATTTTTGAGCAGTGCCAGTGTCTATGCCTGTATAGGTAGACAAAGTACTGGCATATATATTCATGAACCTGGTGTACATCTGCATAATGCATGGCAGCAGAAGCAGCGGCAGGAGCACCGGCAGCAGGACGAGCTGTAGAAAAAGAAGAAGCCGTCGTGGCACTGGCAGGATACGCCAGTTGGTGGACTGTGCCTTTTATTTTAGCTGCTGCTTGGCTTGGCCTGTCTGCTGCTTTTGGCGACCAACTAGTGCGGCTAACACACACACACACTCGCACATAGAGCGGCAGAGAAAGAGAAATATGGGGAAAAAGGCAAACAATGGCTGGCAACCTAGTTATCGCCCCGCCATCTTTATTGCATGCAAATGCGCGAAAGGCGGCGCAAAAAGGAGGCGCGTCTGTTGAAATGGCTAACACATATACACAAACGCACACACTCACACTCACCTTATAAAACCAACCGCATGCATATTTATCTTTCGCCAGCTCCTGCTCCTTTTGTGGCATACAAACACATCTACAGACATGCGAGTTTAAGAAATACGATATCTTAAGTGTTAAACAGGCGCTTTGCCAAACAAGCCTGCACTCTGCAAACCTTATCTGCTCTACATGTGTGTGTGTGTGAGTGTGTGTGTGTGTGTGTGTGCACGGGTTGGCCACGCCCACCGCCTTTCTGCAGCTGGTGATGCAGTATACACAGGAAAATAAATATCACCAGAAATGTATCAGTGCATTTGAAAACATATATAATAATACAAATATTTGCTTTAATTACATTAGTTGCCTATTATTTAAAAATCTCTCACAATTTTCTGTAAATAATCGCTTTAATCTTAAATATAAATCTGAAATCTGAAATATAAATTTGATTCCAACAACAGTATTAAAATTTTAAAGCAATTTATTTGGCCTACAGCATTGGGAAATTAATTATATGATTTAAAGTTGTCAAGGTTCTGTCAAAACCATAAATCAGTGGCATATAGTTAAAAAATTAATTAAAATAGTATTCTGTATGAAATCACCATATTATAAGGAATTTAAAACTTAACGATTTAAGCAGAAATAAAAGCAAGGATAATTTTATATTTTATTATAGAAGAATTTAATTGTAGCTTGTAAGATACGTTTTAAATGGTTAATTCTTTTTTATTAATATGAAATTTAAACTTAATAGTTTTAAGTTAAAACTAATAAAACTTAAATAAGGTGCAATAGTTATCCCTATTCCATCTCATATATTTCAATTTAAGAAATATATTTCAATTAAACATAAAACTATACTGTTAACCTAGTTCTCTGGCTTTGGTAAATCCTCTAGAGGACTCTGATTGAAATAAGCTAAATTAAAATGAGAATTTCGAATTCCCCTTGGTAGGTTATTGTTTCCTGTGTTCGAATACGAAGCTTCACGTATATTTTCGGCGAGGGAAAACAACAAAATGTGGGAAAATGGGTAAAAGAAAAATAAAAACTACACCGCGGCAAATAAATAAAAATACTGCTCACTTCTGCTGCGGCGCGTTTTATGCGCACTTGCACTCACACACACACACACACACACACACACACACACACACAGTTGCCGTGCAAACAGGTGTGAGCTGGCTCACAGGACCTCGCGCCCTGCTTCATTTTTGTAGTGCATACTTTCGGGCACTGCTTATAATTCCACGCCAGAGTTGTAAATATTTGTTCAAGTATTTATTTATGTACTGCCTCCGCGCGCGTGTTTAGCCTTCATATGTGGTAGTAAGTACACCCACAGTCCTTCCCTTTGCTCTTGTCTGTGTGTGTGTGTGAGTTGCGGGCCAAATTAAAATGCATTGCACTTTAGCCTGGCTTTTTGATTTGCCGCATTCCCAACTGGTACTACCATCTAGTTGGATCTTGTACTTTCAATTTCTTTAATGGTAAACCAGGCAAAAACTACTCAAAACGGAGGAAAATCGTTTGTCACAGCTTATAGTTTATAGTGTAAATGCCTTGTTACTTAAACTGATTTATAAAAACGATGGGAAAAACTAAATTTATTGATCTTTGTAGTGCTTTATTTAAGAGCAAATACAGTAAATATATGTTTTTATATTCGAATTTGTTAGTTTTAAAGCTTTGCGTAAACAGTTTATTGTTAACTTCTATTAAAAAAGTAGTGCAGAAATTGAAGGAATTTGAAAACCTTATACTATGTATATTACGTATACGTAATATTTCCCCTTGCAGGTTATTGTATTGTATTGTCAAAAAATTTGGAATTTTTTTTAATACTTTAAAATTTTTAATTAAGTCTGCAGTTGTATTAACATAAAAAAAACTTAGTAAGGAACGCTTTCCAAATTAAAATTAATGCTTTTTTGGCTTAGTTATGAGTTTTATAATTATATTACGTATACGTAATATTTATGCTCTTGCAGGCTATTATAATTTTAGTCCGAAGCGTCCAACCCCTATATAATATTGATCACCATCAACAGCCGAGTCGACCTAGCCATCTTAGGAACAAAAAAAAAATTACCAATTTTTTCAAAATTTTATAAAGGGCTAAAATTGTCA